AAATATTAATGGGACCACATGGTGTATGAGTGCGTTCCCCAGTTTGTTCGTGCAACGGGGTGGGGCATCGACCATCATTTCAATTGCGTACGGATACAGACAGCAATAGACTATGTCCTACGGCTGAAAGTAATTTTAAGTCGGCCAAAAATGATTATGTTTTCCAACTTAATCCTTGCTCATCTTGGCTTTATGTTTGTTTTCAATTATATACATATTATATAGTTCACTCTATTCAAATGATTAAAAATGAGATAAAAGATTTTGCCTAATTTCTAAGCTATTCTAATAGGCTTTTGATATGTGTATGTTCTTAAGTAATCAATTCGGATCGTTTTTTTTTCAAGTAAAAGTATTATAAAAAGTATTCTTTAATGAGATTAGACCAGTATTGCATTACTTTTGACAACATCAAGTTGTTTTCTACTTTGCCTACTTTTTATCTTCAAAGTGGTATCTTTTTTCTATATATTATTAAAATGGTATTCGTGTTAATGCAAAATGTTCTTACGTATTCATAACAACTAGTCAAATTAATTTCATAGAATTGGGTTGAGCAATTGGTCAGATATTATCGATATTAATCCAATTCAGTTGAATTCAGTTTGCTTTTATGCCACACGAAATGCTATAAAATCTATTTACTATAGTTGTTGTTGGGCTGCATCTGTAGTGGGCACTTTGTGGTTTCCTTTCTTCCTAATGTATCTCAATGTTTCCGCCATTTGCGTAATTTCTTGTTGTTGTGGTTGTTGTTCTGGTTCTTGCCATTGTTGGCAGTTGTATGGCTTGCGTTTAATTTGTTGTGAGAGATTCTTGCCCGATCAGTCGATGAAAGCGCATGAAGAATACCCAACAAAAAAATTGGAAATTATTAATTTGATTGATTACACTTTCCTCTTTGCGACCTACTGATGATGATGCATCTGATGTTGATTAATGCGGATCAGCAAAGTGCCGCGAATCTTAATTGCTGCCAATTGATGCAATTAAAGTTGGGCCACCGCAAAATATTCATCCAACTCGAGTCCAACACGAAATCAGAAAATTTTGCAATCACATTTCACTGAAATTGAAAGGCAGAAAGCTTTCACTTCGACGTGGATGCAGCATTTGTAATTTTGCTGCCATTGATTGACAAAGGGTTTTCCCTACTGCCCACCATTTAGGGGCGTGGCCTTTAATTGAGTGCCTGCCTGCGGAACGGGCCACCCTTCGGCCCGCCGTCTAATTTGGTTTTGGCAAAGAAATTCATTAGGCGTCCCATCGAACATGGTCCCATACATCCGTCAAGCAGAAACATAGAAAATTACAAAAAAAAAATCGTCTTGTTCTGACGTTCGGTCCACCACCCCACACCCCCCGCTCTGCCTTCACCAACCTCTTAAGAATTTTTAAATTGCTTTTATTGTTGGTGGTGTTGTGTGGGCAAAATGTAGAGCTGCTGCCAAAAATTCGCTGAACAACCAAATTGCGCGTGTCTTGAAGATTCGCTTTAGGCAAACGCTACCCCAGCTGCAGTTTGATGTTTGCCTGATTTGGAAAAATGTTCAAAATGTGAAAGATTGCAAGGCTGTCAAAATAAAGCCGATCTATATTAGATGACGCCATTTGTAAGCAGCCACAATTGATTTGAGAAAAATCGCTGTAATTAGTAAAAAAAAGTCACCATGTGCAGAGAGAGTCCTTAAATAAGCAGGACTAATGGGAAATAGTTTAAGTCAGCCGGATGAGAGAGTCGCCTTCAAGACACAAATTAAAGTCGGAAGTGAATTGCGTTTGATAGAAGAGCAAGTTGTTAAACGCTTTTCGATTTGCTTGCTTCACTTTCTTACTTTCTTACTTACTGTGTGCTTCTGCTATTGTTTTGTCTGAACTGATTGTTATTTTGCTTCTTGATTCGTTGCTTCCTCTGTTTCATCTTTGTCTCTTTGCTTTTCGATTTGCGTCAAGCTTTATTATGCTCTTGCAGAGGGTAATCTTATTTTATCATGCGATTTGTAAGGCACAGAGAGAAGAAATCGCCGATCCCATAAAGTATATATATATATATTCTTGATCAGCGTCATTGCCTGAGTCGATGTAGCAGTACTCATGTGTCTGTCTCATTCTATGCAAACTAGTAATTTAGTTTTAAAGCTATTTTAATGCAACCCGATGATGATGGATTGCATCAGTTTATCATAGGAAATATCGATTTATCGATCGAATGGTTGCCCTAAAAATAATATCACTAGTTATGTGTGTTATTATTTGATCAAAAAACATAGAGATGAATTTTATAGGATAGGAACAATCGGTTGAAAGATGAGTTCTTGTATGAATAACAATTATTGTTTACCAAATTTGACGCCGTTCTATAAGGGTATATAATCTTCGGCATGCCTAAGATAGTGATATTTCTTGTTTTCGGTTTCTCTTCTAATTGTCACTGCGCCTTTTGTTTGGTTTGTTGATTCTCGTTTTGTTTTTGGGCTCGCTTCTTGCCTCCGAACTAATTAAGCCATTTGACTCAATATTTGTGTTATGTGTTCAATTCGATTCAACAAGCACTTGAAGTATATTTTTAACATTTACAGTGAGTTTGCAAGCGTACCTCCAAGTAAAGTACTTGAGGCAGCTCGCATGCCTTATCGCCATAGTTGAACTGATGTTTGCACAGTTGGTGCGGAGCTGGCGTCAAAATTAATCGCAAACAATCCGTCAACAGATATTTTGCGACCTCTGTCAAAAATACGTATGTACGTAGTGATATAATGTACGGCTACTACTTCCAGTTTACCAGTTTACCAGCTTGTCAGTTTGTTTTCCAGTCCGTTTTGTCAGACTGTCTTTTTGACGGATTCCTTTTTTCTTTTTTTTTTTTTTTTAGTTGACAGCTTTAATATTTTTCTGTGCGCATTTTGCATTTTGCATTTTACAGCATAAAGAATTATAATTATAAGACGTGAATATTTTTAATTTGTGCACATTCTTAATTTTTCATCAACCCACCCAATCCGCAACTGCTTCACCAATTCAAATGGCTTGCCAATGTGTGTGCGTGTGGGCTTGTCCAAAAATTCTATTTGCGGCACACCAAGTGCCCGATTTGTTTCAAAACATTTCTGAGTTATGCAAGTGTAAATATTTCACCCTGGTGCTTATAAATTTACGTGAAATGATTCTCGTGTGTTTGCTTTTTATTTGCTAGTTTGTATATTTTTTCTTCAACAATTACCTGTTTATTTATGTGACCCACATTAATTTGTAGTTAAATTTAATTAATGGCTATCATCAATGAACTTGGTTTTATTCTGTCTAAAGTACAAATTGCTTGCAATTGCTGGCATATTATGCAATTAATACATTGATAGGAAATCTATTACTGGACACCTTACTGTACCTTTTATGAAAGTTGGCTTGAAAGCGGTGGGGTACACGAAAGGTTTTCTTAAACCCAGTCAACAACATTTTAACAATTGCTTTCATAATTAATTGAAAAATAGTATCTTAATATATTATTATGTATGTGAATTAATATATAAAAAGTGGGCATGCCCGAAAAAAATGTGGGAGGAGTTACCTCGTAATTTTCCTACCAAGTTTTGTTACTGTAGCTCTTAAAGTGGGTCTTCGTAATCTATCCTCCAAGTTTGCTAACTTTAGCTCTCAAATTGCGGGAAATATAGGCTTTTATCAATTTTTCTTATCGATTGTTAAAGGCAGCTACCAAAAATATACCTAAAAAAATTAAACGGCTCTAAATTAAAATCTGTGGAAGATATTTGAAATTTGAAATTTTCAAGGGCGGGTGGCCAGGTGGCGGCGAAGGTGTGCGTGGCATATGCCAATTTTTGAACCAACAAAATTTATTGACTGCACCCTTGTGGCAGATATGTGGCTTTATCGATTTCCAATTATCGATTTTATCGATTTCCCAGCCACCCAGTGGACGTGTAATGCGGACACAGTTCAGTACTTGTTACAAGTTTCAAGTCTTTATCTCTAAAGGTGTCGAAAACAGTTGCGTTGTACAAAATAATCAGAGGTATCAGAGTATAAAAAGCACGAACTCTAATTGAAATTGAAACTTATGTTTATTTATATTACAATTGAGATCTCGATTGCGGTATATTGTAATAATTGGTTTATTTATTTTATTGGTTGATGCGAGTCTGAAGTGCCTGAAATACACATAATGAAATGACAAGATTTATACGAATATGGGCTATGGGACATATACATATATGCACATAGATGGTGAGGTATATTTTATTGGAGTATACTCCATACCTTGTCTTGCCTGTGACATTTTCACTCATTTGCTTCGTATTCCATGCTGGTTGCGTAAACTCGTGTGATTTTACGAGTACTTCTGAGTATTCGCAAAATGAATCTGTGCATAATTTGAATTTTTTGAATGTATTTAACGGACTGCCGCATACAAATCGCCATTTATCTTCACTGGCTGAATGTCGCCAAAACAGTTCAAGCTATGGAGGGAGGGACTCATTTTGTGGGAGCGGGGAGTGGTGTGGTACTTTGTTGTGCGTGGGCATGGCCGTAAATGTGAACGGCAAGGCAAGACACGGAAAACTGACCGAACGGACATGAACATTGATTGATTTCACGCCAGCCAACAGCCGCTGAACGAGCTGCTTATTTTTAGCGGTTATTTTTTGAACGGGCATTTTGAACATCGTGCGGGTCGGAGGGTGGACGGGGGCCAGGGAGCCAGGGGGCCACGGATACGTAGAATGAATATGTTATTTTAAGTGGTGTGACAGCAGGCGGGCAGGCTGGCAGGTGGCTGGGTGGCTGGGTGGCTGGTGGCAGGGGGCAGGGGGCAGGTGACAGAGGGCATTCGGCACGATTTTGCTACCCAGTGATTGCGTGCCAAAACATTTTGAATAATGGACATGCAACAATGTTTCAAGGTCGTCCTAACCTAAACATACCCACTTGAACTAACTAATTTTCAATATTTCTTTTTTTTTCTTCATTCTTTTCAATTACAGCCCTTGAACTTGGCAGACTTTTGGCGAGCAGCCGCTTGGCGGCAGCGGCCACGGCAGCCGCATGGATCATGCCGTCAGGGCGACGCGCGGCCGCCCGCTCAACACGTTGCGTTTCGAGAACGATGAGCTGGAATGCCTCTATCAGCGTTACACGCTCAAGCTGCAGCGCTTCTCCGTGCTGGGCGTCGTCGCTCTCGTCGTCGTCCTTTGCGGTGTAATGGCCGCCCTGTCCCTGGCCTTTAACAATGCGCCCACCTTTCATGTGAGTCGCGGTTACTAGTAGTTTTGAGTATTAGACAAGCCAAACGTAAGCAAGTAATATCCATGGAAAAACTGGCTTAGAATACTGAACGGTCTCTTGGTAGCACAATGTGGGCTAAGAAGGCACTTAGCTAAACTAGAATCTGTTGATCCTAGAACAATGATTTTGCGCTATGATTTGCATAGCGGATTGTGTCGCCTTCGTCAGGAGAAGATGCAATATCCTAGCGAAACAGGTCTTAAGCTTCTTAGACATAGAAATCGTCAAGCCGACAAAAATTCGTAAATTTGTGCCAGAATCAGGGTTGAAGGAAGTGCAATAGTGCTATATCCAGCTATATTGTCCAGCTATATCGCAGAGCAAGAAGCTCGCGAATAATCCAAAAAATTATTTTGGTTCTTGAGCTAAGCACCAATTGCTTGCTTTCCCTTGATTTTCAAATTGATTTATGTACTGTACGGAAATATAGGTGTCAGTAGTTTATTTCCGGTTTACAATGGTAATTTAAAGATCATCTTTCGATCGATTATTCCTGTGGCAGCTAGATGACATAGTGGTCTGATCGGGTCATCTCTGACCTATGTACTACCTTGAGCAAAAATACGGGTAAATACCAAGTTTGAGGGGCTAGTTTGCAACACTAATGCATAAGTCATATTCAAATAGAACGCGTCAATTAATTAATTGTTCAACTTGCAATCTATTTTCGATCATAGAACATCTTCAACTCGATTGTGTGTGTGCTGTTTGCCATTGTGCTGGCGCTGCTGCAGTGCTCGATCATCAAGGATCACCATTTGCCCACGCTGTGCTATGGCATTTTGTTGTTCACGGCCAGCATTTGCATTGTGTCGATGCCGACGCTGGGCAGCATTTTTCCCGTGGACACCAAGGAGGTGATGGCCGAGGGCGTCTGGCAGATTGTGTTTGTGGTATTTTTGGCGTACGCAATGATGCCGTTGCAGATCTGGGAGGCGGTTGCCTTTGGCATTACACTCCCCTCGGTGCACATCAGCATTACGGTCTATAAGATCTTTACGGCTGCACTGCGTTATCTGGAATACAATCAGCTCATTGCGAACATTGTCATCTTCATTGGGGTGAATGTCGCCGGCCTGGTCGTTAACATCATGATGGAACGTGCCCAGCGGCGCGCGTTTCTCGACACACGCAACTGCATCGCTGCACGCCTGGAGATCCAGGATGAGAACGAGAAACTGGAGCGATTGCTGCTCTCTGTGCTGCCGCAGCACGTCGCCATGCAGATGAAGAACGATATTCTATCGCCGGTGGCCGGTCAATTTCATCGCATCTACATACAAAAGCACGAGAACGTTAGCATCCTCTTTGCAGACATTGTCGGCTTCACCGTACTCTCCTCCCAATGCAGCGCCCAGGAACTGGTGCGTCTACTCAACGAGCTCTTCGGCCGCTTCGATCAGCTGGCGCATGTGAGTGACAACTGCAATTGGCTGCTGCGAACATTTCACGGCATTAACTTGTGGCTCATTTATTTGTACAGGATAACCACTGTTTGCGCATTAAGATTTTGGGTGACTGCTATTACTGTGTCTCTGGCTTGCCGGAGCCGCGCAAGGATCATGCCAAATGCGCCGTGGAAATGGGACTCGATATGATCGATGCCATTGCGTGAGTAGCCCTTCCCCTGCATATATTATAATACGCTACCATTGGATCGAACTTCATGTAATACGATTTATGTTCAAGGATACCAAGTTGTTGTTATAGCCTGGCAGATGATATTATTATTATTGCGAAATACCATATATGGATAGACATATGTATAATATTATATTTTAAGCCAACCCCAGAAGGGAACTGTTCTTCCTGTGTGGTGATCCCCATTGATCTCGGCATGTCGAGAACTGACTTACTTAACCCATTTTCTTGATCCCGTTCGCAGTACCGTTGTGGAGGCGACAGATGTCATATTGAATATGCGTGTGGGCATTCACACTGGCCGCGTTCTCTGCGGCGTTTTGGGGCTGCGCAAGTGGCAGTTTGATGTGTGGTCCAATGATGTGACGCTGGCCAACCACATGGAGTCGGGCGGGGAGCCGGGGCGGGTGCACGTGACGCGAGCCACACTCGACTCGCTGTCGGGCGAGTATGAGGTGGAGGCGGGCCATGGCGATGAGCGATCGTCGTATCTGCGGGATCATGGCGTCGACACGTTCTTCATTGTGCCCCCGCCGCATCGGCGCAAGGTAAGTTCCAAGATAGTTCAAAGAAGTCATTAGCTGCTGCTTGCGACCTTTCACTCATGTGCATCTCTTTCTCTATTTCTGTGCATGTGTATTGCAGCCCCTAATGCTAAACACGCTTGGTGTACGCTCGGCGATCGGTAGTCGACGCAAGTTGTCATTTAGAAACGTGTCCAATGTGGTCATGCAACTGCTGCACACCATCAAGTTCTCGGAGCCGGTGCCCTTCTCCAATATTGCCACCGGTTCGTTTCCCTCGGCTGCTGCTGCTCTGGGCGGCGGTCCGGCACGTGGCAGCAGCACGGATGCGGCCGCGGCCAGCGTACAGGTGTCGGAGAAAGGATCACGCAAGGTAAGTGGCCAGTGCCCCTTCTGTTAATATCCTTTTGTCCATGATCCAGAAGAGTTCATAGACCATATGTTCCACTCTTCACAGTTCAAAGACTCGTTGTAGCTCGGTAGTCGTAGCTCAGTTCTATGCATGTCCGGGTCGTTCTTCTTTTTTTTTTTTTTGTTTTGTATTCCTTTTTTGAGGGGATTGGTTGTGGGTCTGTTACGTTATCATTTCACGCTCGATGTGTGTTTTGTTTTTCGACTTGTACCGTTTCTCGAACCGTGTGTATCTCATGGATACACTCTCGAACTCAATCTGATCTGTCGATGGCTTGCTGTGTAAAAAATGCGACAATTCCTTATGATTTCTTTCGTTGATTTCTTTCTTTTCGTTTACTTTCAGGATGCGGTAAGTTCACCGTACTTATAAATATAGTATGAAACGTTCCCAATCCCATCTCAAAACTTCGTTCCCCTGTTTTTTTTTCTTCTGTTCTCTATTTTGTGGGTTTTTTTTTTTCGATTTGTAGACGCAATAAATTGCATAGTGTATAAATTAAAAAAAAAAAAAAAAAAAAAAAAATTGCATTGTAATTTGCGTAGAACAGTTGGCTCGGTCATCAATATGTTTTTATTTTGTAATTTGTAATCCGTACTGTTGTATCTACTAACATAACATATGCATAAGTAAAGTACTGGCAAAAACTGTAAAGGATGCCTTTCGTTTATTGCGTTTGTGTCGATGTTGTGCGTACTTAGTGTAAGGAGTAGAAGACCAATGATGTATTTGCTGGACTACTCATCGGTAACACCCACTGAACAACAACAACAACAATGTACACGAGATTCGAACTTTGATTTCATCATCATTGAAGAAGAACAAGAAACACACAACGCTGACACAATTTCACATTGGGCTACTCAAAATACTGTATATTAAACTTAAACTTTACTGAAATGGTGTAGGTACCCCAACCCCAACACTTATGCGGCTCACACAATATTTTGGTATATTTTGGTATACATATGTACTATCAATTTTTTCAAAAATTTGAATCATTAGAAATATGGAAAATTCACTACACATTGCTTAATATTTCAAATGCTGTGATGATGTATAGTTTACTTAAATTACACTTTAACGCTATACTTACACTTTAAACTTTTCACAATTTACCGCTATCTGCTATACTACAAGTTTCAGTTTCAGTTTCCGTTTCCGTTACAGCTTCAGTAACAATATCCATTCCAGTTTTTCGTTAAGTTTCATCTTTATCTTTATGCGTTCAATCTGTTGTCCTGTCTATGAACTATGAATTTATCCCATTTTCTCAACATCAACCTTGATATTTTTATCTATCTCTAAACTACTGTTACTTTATCTACCCTAACCATACTTAACTATCGTTAACGTTATTTGACACCTCGTATTTTTGACTATACTACAATATTTTAACTTTTATCGATTTAAGCAAAAAAGTAAAAAAATTAAAAAATAAATTAAAAAAACAAAATACATATATATAAATATATATATACATATACTGTGTATACTTCTCTGATCTAGGTAATACGTCTACAAAAAATCTTGCATGCTACCCCACCACCGCACGGCACCATGGGCTATGGCAGCGTCGTCGGCAGCGGCGGCGGCGGTGGGGTGGGCAGTGTTCAAGTGACCGTAGGCACAAGTCCCAATTCAACAGCGAGTACGATTAGTCGCATACATAGGCACAATCACAAGAATAATAAAGTGAGCAGAGCAGCAACAAAACCAAATGTTTAATTTTCGTTCACATTCGTTCAGTCGTTCTTCAGTCGTCGTTCAGTCTTGTGTTCCTTATGTATTTATGTTGGTGTTTGTTGTTGTGTTCTATATTGTATTGTATTTTGTACACGTTCACGTTTCACGTTCATTCGTTACGTGTTGTTTGCCTAACTCATACATTACATATTTAGTTCGTCGCAGTTTCGTTGAGTTTTATTTTCACTAATAACTGTTATGATTTTTTGCGTTGCGGGTGGGTATTTAACAACACTGCTTCGTTAAGTTCCATTAACTTTAAAGTTTCGTTGAGTTTCATTAGAACTTGCGACTAGCTTACTTAGCATTGCATTTACCGCATGTCGCCCAATCGTGATGCCCTCATTTCGTCAAATCTCGTCCAGCTGATTTACATTCACATTCTTAACATTCCGCGATTCCATTGTGAGGCTCCGTTCTCGTTGACGTGTGAGCGGCCAAATTACCGCTTGACTCTAAAACAGTTGATCGGCTTATTTTATTTGTCTTTGCGCAATTAATAATTAGGAAATTAATTAAAATATTAGACAGGTTATATAAGAAACAAGTTGAACAATGCAAAAGGATTTTATTTTATTTTATTTTCGGCACATAATTGTACAAATAAATTAATTTAATTAAATTCTTAAATTATTGCAACATCAACTGTTGATGGAACTAAGAATACCACACTCTTCAAAACATCGATACGAAATTCGATAAATCATTGCAAAAAAAAGAAGAAAAACACGAAACAATTTTCGAACGTTGAATGCACATAATGTTCTCCCTTATGGGAAAATGTACAGGCAACAACATCCTTTACATAAGTATAATAATAATTCAACATTCGAAAATTATTTGGTGTATTTCATTAGCATTTTGCAATGATTTATCAGTACATTATTTAGTTTAGTCCAAGCGCACACACATACACACTCTTTGCATGCCGCTATAATTATGTATTCTCAACTGCATGCACTAGTGATCCGATTAGTGTACTACATACTTTAGTTTAGTACTTAGTACTTTCTTCGATAAAGCCAGCAAGCGCCACTGCCACCAGCCACAAGCGGGAACAACAATAAGCACTAACTAGACCCATTTTTGTTTTTTTTTCCTTCTTCCCTGCATCCCGTACAGTCACAGTCTAAGGTCGCGGACAAGTTTAAGCGGCCGTTCCGCAAACGGCATTCGGTGGCCGCCCATCATCAGCCAACAAATCGGGTGAATCGCTTCCTCTCCCAGGCGATCAATGCACGCTCCGTGGACTGTGACAAGTCGGAGCATGTGGATCGATTAACGTTGCGTTTTCGTCAGAGCGACAAGGAGCGTGAATACCACAAGGATTTCGATTTGGGCTTCACGACAGCCATGGGCTGTTCTCTGCTTCTTTTAATACTGGGCGCTGCACTCCAGGTGACAGCCCTGCCGCGCACCCTTATCCTGCTGCTGCTCTTCCTTACGGCTTTCATTTGGGTTAGTGCCATACTGATGTTGTTGCTGGCCGTGCGCCTCAAGTGGATCATCTGGGACATTTCGGAGAGCTTCTCGCTTCGAATGGCCATTACCATTTTCACAATAATCCTCATCTATTCAGTGGGTCAGGTGAATGTGGTGAGTGAATCGATTAGCATCCCACTTTTTATTCGCATCTTTCTAACACATCTATTTCTCATTTTGTTGTTTGCCGACCAACAGTTTACCTGCGTCACGGATCATCCATGTTCGGACAACACAACGACCTTGGATTTCCAGGGTCTAGACTCCGATAATCTGGATATGTCGCCAGTAATAAGCAAACAGGTCGATGCCCATCGCAAGTGCTCGTTGCCTCAATATGTGTCCCTGTCGGCAGCATTCGCCTTCCTGTCCGTTTCCGTGTTTCTCAGGTGAGTGCGAAAATTTAAGCTTTAAATTGAAATGAATGTTTACTGTATCCTGTATCCTTGTCCAATGCAGATTGCCAATTATATTCAAGTCGCTGCTGGTGCTGGGCATGGGCACCATCTATGGCCTGTTCATTGAGCTGTCCCATCAGAATATCTTTGAGTGCTACGACACTCGCGTTAAGTAGGTGGTCATGGTCCATATGATTGGCCCACATATCAACGTGTTCTCTATATATAGTGCACACTTATTTAAATATATCTATGCAATTCCTTCACATTTTAGAGCATCGATTCCGCTTCATTTGATCTCATTGGCGCGCATTGTTATCTTTATGATTGCGATATTGGTGCACGGCCGTTTGGTCGAGGGCACCGCTCGTCTGGATTTTCTCTGGCAGTTGCAGGCGTCGCAGGAAAAGAAGGAAATGGATGTGCTGCAAGCGTCAAATAAGCGCATTTTGCACAATTTGCTGCCCGCTCATGTGGCTGCACATTTCCTCGATGCGCAATTTCGCAACAACATGGTAAGTGGCACACCGCATACGCTTCATCACCCATGCTTTCACCGCCAACTTCACTGACCCACTCACTAATCATGTGGTTTGCCTTTTATTTAGGAGCTGTATCATCAGAGCTATGCCAAGGTGGGCGTCATTTTCGCTAGTGTGCCCAATTTTAATGAGTTCTATACGGAAATGGATGGGTCCGATCAGGGGTTGGAGTGCCTGCGACTGCTCAACGAGATCATTGCTGATTTTGATGAGCTGCTCAAAGATGATCGCTTTCGAGGCATCGATAAAATCAAGACAGTTGGCAGCACATATATGGCGGTGGTTGGCCTCATACCCGAGTACACGATTCAACCCACCGATCCCAACTCGGTGCGTCGTCACATGACCGCACTGGTCGAGTACGTCAAGGCGATGCGGCTCTCTCTGCAGGAGATCAACAGTCACTCCTACAACAATTTCATGCTGCGCGTGGGTGAGTATACTCTGATACTGCAACCTGCACACTCCCAATTCCTTCCTAATCGTTTCCCCTTTATTTAGGCATCAATATTGGACCCGTTGTGGCGGGCGTGATCGGTGCTCGAAAGCCCCAGTATGACATCTGGGGTAATACGGTAAATGTGGCCAGTCGCATGGACTCAACGGGAGTGCCCGGCTACTCGCAGGTCACCCAGGAGGTGGTGGACAGTTTGGTTGGGTCGCACTTTGAGTTCCGCTGTCGAGGCACCATCAAAGTAAAGGGCAAGGGTGACATGGTCACCTATTTCCTCTGCGACAGCAGCAGCAATGCCCTGAATGGCGAGGTGCGAAACGCTATGATTAGCAGTAGACCTTCGGCAGCCGCGAATGAATCGCAAACACATCAGTCGCTTCCTCATGCGGGTGGCCTGCATCCCGCCGAGTACTATCAGAAGGCATCGCAGTTCCAGGAAAATCGCGTCAATACAGATACCTACAGCAAGAAGGACAACGGTCATCTGTACAATGTGTGCGGGAGTGAGGAGCAACAGCTGTTGCTGCAGCATCAGCAACAAAAGCAGCCACTGCCCGCACCGCCCACGACCACGCACCACCATCTGCATCAGCAACAGCAGCAGCGGCTCAACAGCAAGCTTCAAAAGCAACCCAACTTTATGACCAATGGTGGTTTACCCAATATCCGCGAGAATGGACACAATGGCGGCGAGATGCATTATGCGGCCACAAATATGGCTATGAATCCGGCTGCAGTTACAGTTACGGCTGCAGTACAGCAGCAGCAACAACAGCAGCTCCAGCACCAACACCAGCAGCAGCAGCAGCTGCAACTCCAGCACCAGCTCCAGATCCAGCACCAGCACCAGCTCCAGCACCAGCCCATTCCTTCGGTAATGTTGCGCGAGTTCAATATAATTGAGAATCCAAATACCGGTGGCAGGCATCAGCAGCAGCAGTTGGAGCAATTGCCGTCGGCACAGCGGCCACAGCACAATGGTAATAGTCTCGATGGGGGCGTGGTCGGTGTGCTGGGCGGTGATTGTTTCATAATGCCGCGGCGCGATCAACTGCGCAGCTATGCGCCGCCGCCGGCGCTGCCCTTTAACCAGCATGGCCAGCATCTCCCACTGCATCATCTGTATCACCAGCATCAGCATCTGAATCAACATCAGCCATCGTCCTCCAGCATGGGCTATGGCAACTGCCGTGAGAGCGAGCCGCTATTGCATGCCAGCAGCGTCGCGCCGGTAGCCAAGGTGAGTGATGACGTTGACCTCATGTTCTGGAGCAAGGAGATACTGCTATGAACAATGCAACCTGCCCACTAGCCACCCCCTAACCAACTAACAAACCAACCACCCAAACAAACAACCAACCACCCACCCATCCATCCAACCATCCAAAGAACCAACCAACCCATCCATTTGTAACTAATCAGATCTATGTGCAAAGTGTGTCTGTGTTAGTGCATTTTACTGAGCCTAAACAGATCTCCTTATGAGAATATTCAATTGGAAAAATATATATAATGGAAAAGTGGAAAAACACGACTCAATTGCATATACAATTGATATATAAATGTTATTCAACAAATTGTTCACCCTTTCCGTTAGTATTTGCCAAAGCTTAGTCTGATTGTAATTTATAACATTTAAAGTGCTACGGTTCTAGACCAATTTTGTAGGAATTTTTAAATTACGCGAATCGCGTAAGCAAATCTAAATGCAAAAATCTCTCATGAAAAGAAGTTTAGAATCGATTGCATTTCAATTTATGAATTCTATTTTGTTTTCTCACATTTCTAATTTGCTTCTGAATAGCTCAATTATGGCTTATATATGAAAGAGATGAGAGAGAGGAAAGTTGATTTATTCAATGTCTGATGTGTAGGGTCAGTGCTGATTAGTTCGGTTAAGCAAACACAGACATCACACACATCCAGGCAATTATTCATTTATTGTAAAGCTAAAACTGCCTCTCTTGCCTTGTGGATTATTCCCCATATAATTAGTTATTGTATCTGCATGTTTATTTGTAATATATATAAGTATCTGAATATATGTGTGTGTGTCTCTAACTGTGTTCCACTCTTTGCATGCTATCGCACCACGCCCACATTTTCACGACTAACACCTAGATCATGCCCATGCAGCATGCGCCAAAGTACGAGCCACCACGTTACACCTGTCCCAACTCCGTGTTGTCACTGCAGCAGCAACAACAACAGCCGGAACTGGCTCCACTGCACCAGCAACAGCAACAGCGCCAGTATGCGCTTTATTCACAGCAACCGCCTCTGCCGCAGCTGCCACCGAAGCCAGCATTGAGAAGCTATCTAAAACCGCTGCCCAAGTTGCCGGCGGATATTGATGAGAGCCGCGAGATGTCATCGACAGACGATCTCAGCTCGCGCCCGCATTCGCCCTCGATGAGCAGCTCGGATGAGAGCTATTCAAAGACCACCGAGGGTGAGGGCGATGGCGACGAGGATTCGCCCCGCATCAATGGCGGCCATCTGCAACGGAACGGACATGGCAACGTTGGGTTCAATGTGACTGCGGGGCGCGTGAATCCGTTGCAGTGGCTCTATCCCTGCGACATACAAGTGGATCCCACATCGCCAGTGGTGATGGACATGGCACAGCTGCGTGACTTTGAGCTCAGCTCGACGACCGAGAGCCAGGGTGGCCACCCGACAACGACCAGCAATACGACGAGCAACATGCAGCACAAGGGCGACAGCTGCAACAGCTTTGACTATCAGAAGACATCAGCAACAGCAGCAGCAGCAGCAGGCATCCCGGTGACGGCCGGTGCAGTTGGCAGCACTGCAGGTGCTGCGACCAAATCACCGTTTGAGAGGGAACTGCAAAGACTGCTCAATGAATCGTCGCGAGCACGCTGCCTGGCGGCAGTGTCGGCATCGTCCACGGCGGTGCCGGTGGTCACCAACTCGGATCAAACCACCAGCAATTGCAGTAGTCACCACAATGTTGATCTAAGCTATTCGGCCAGCAACAGCAAGCTGAGCTCCATCAATGGTCATCTTGGACAGATTCAGGCCAATGGGGCCGAGGGTGGCTCAAGCAGCAATGGTAATCTCAGTGGCGGCAGTAACTCAAATAGTGGCAACAACAACTATCACAATGATCAGCAGCAGCAAGACCATGATCTGCTTGCCATGGCCATTCAGGTGACTGGCAAGCTGCCCATGAGCAACAGCTTCATGATATCTAAGCATCCTGTCGGCCTCGAGGCCATCAAGGAAATTACGCGCCACAAGAACCCATCCGAGTCCAGTCAAATGTGAGTAAAGCACCAACAAAGCAACAAAATACATACTAACTGTACTAAAGATAACCATCACCATAAAGATGACTACCCATCTGTATCTAATGCCAATCCGGATGTCATTGTCATTATCATTGCTTAAGCTCGCAATTAAGCTCATATCATTTTCATATGCATATCTTTTCTGTATCGTCGGCTGAAGGTCTTGGATCATACATAACTTATTGAAAGTCAATTTAAGTTACAAACAAATAAGATAAGATTTAATTTGTTCCCCTACTTTGTTATACAAAACATATTCAAATTTATTTAATTTCTTCTCTCTGTATATGTGCACAATATGTGAAATCCAATCAGATAAGCTCGTATATAGTAGTTGGACAATACGGTGCCATACATAAAATATTATTATTATTATTATTATTGTTGTTATTATTATTAGTTGCCATTTAAAAATTCAAATTGATATCTCAAATGTGGCAACTGAATTTTGCGAATTTTCAATAGTTGATAGATATGTCTGATATTGAATGGATATTGAACATTAAAAATACCGATGATATTTGTATATTGTCCACAAAATGACGGCAATATTTTAGGGGTTTCTGACACGCAGATATTTTCAAGACTAATGTAAAGCATTATTTTTAGGCAAACATCGGACACGGAATCGTGCGAGATTCTGCACGAGAATCGCAGCCAAATGCATGTGTTGGCCATGTTGGAGCTGCATGCGGCCAAGGAACATCAGCATCAGCCGCAGCAGCAACAGCAACAGACCAGACTGCATCGTCAGCGTCCCCGCTCCAAGGAACTGCAGCGCAGCTACGAGAGCCTCGACAGGTTAGATGGTGTAATGGCACCGCAGCAGCAACAGCAGCAGCAGTCGCAACGTCAACGCCATCACCATCACCACCATCAGCAACGGCAGCAGCGCTACAATCATGTGGATCAGGAGGAGCGCGATGATACTGAGGACAACCTGGCCGATGAGGAGTTCGAGGACGATGAGGTGGGCCGCGATGTGCGACAGAAACGACTGCTGCAGAGTGAGCAGAACAAGCACAAGAATGACAAACAGCAGCAGTCCCAAAGTGAGGAGCTGGAGCAGCTGGAACAGGAGCAGCTAAGGGAGACGGCGCCGCTGACCAATGGCAGCTTGCGCCTGGAGGCGAATGTGATAAACGATGAGCTGAAATATGGTGCGGCGCATCACAACCACCAGTCCATGGACTCCAATCCACTGGAGAGCCAATCGGAATGGTCGGACGATGATTGCCGCGAGGAGGCAACTGGTAAATGACCTCAAAATTATTTAATATCAATCATTTTTAAACTTTACGCTCACTTTGATAGGCGGCGCAGAGTCAACAGGCTACATAACCGATGAGCCTGGTCTGGAGAACATCTCGCTTTTAAACGAGGCGGGTCTGACAGACGCCGAGGGCGCCTTGTCAGACGTCAACTCGCTTTACAATGCGCCCGATGTGGATGACACATCAGTGTCGAGTCGGGCCAGTTCGCGGCTGCTCAGCCTGGATTCACTCAGCGGCTTATACGATTGTGATTTGGACTCCAAGCATGAGCTGGCCATTGTTAATGCCTCGCACAAGATATCCAGTAAGTTTGGTCCACCACCCTCGCCGGCACAGCAGCAGCCACTAGCAGCAGCAGCAGCAGCAGCAGCAACAGCAGCGCATTCGCCGCAGCAGCAGCAACAACAAAGTTAAGGGATCTGACACAAGAAGTGAAATAAGCATAAGTAATTGAGCACACAAAGGAAACCGAAAACAAGCACTCAAAACGTTGTTACTGCGAAATGCAAATGGTGTCTATTAATTTACAATAACATAACTACAAAGTTAATTACATATATATACTGTACGTGCAAAAGCATCCAATAATAACTTTGGCAAATTCCATGGCACTCCTTCTGTTTTGGTTTTTCGAAATTCCGAAAATGAAAACTGATATTGCCATTTCTACAAGTTATTATTGGTTGCTTTCCATTTCATCTACTTATGTAGCTACAGACACTATTTTTACATGTGAGTTTTATACTCTGATTCCGCGGGGCATATTGGTTTTGTGACAGACATTGCACAAAACCAATATCCCAAGATATACCAATTTGTGCTGTCCGTCTGCGTGTGAGCAATTTTGTTGTGGGAGATATCGGATTTTGTGATTCTTCTAAACAAACTCCAAGATTGGTGAACACCACTGAAATTTCACAGTCGGTTACGCCCGATTTCAAAGTTTTGACTTGTTTTTTTTTTCGGTGTTATATACGTAGTATAATCAAAAATATTAAGTAAATATATATACATTATAAATATATATATTCATACTTATTTAGTCATTGGTAATCTTACACGAATTGGCCCAGTTGAACGTTCCAGTTATTCGCAAAAATTAATTATGACTTTAATTTAATGTACTTCTATATGCTTATTATACAAATTATATATGTATATGCGTTTAGCTATAGGCAAATCATCACAATTATCATTATAAACGATATGTGGTTAATTCATTTGTGCGCTTAGCCTCTATAAGATATAATTTGCTCATTTGTTATACACTACATAAGTGCATACCTATAATGCTACATATTTTATATGTAGACCGACCTGTATGCCTATATTATTTAATAATCGAATATATATAACTACAACAAACGCATGACACGTTGTAAATAAAGCGAAATATTATAAATATTTAACACTACAAGTAAACCCTAAATTACACACAACCCTAACTTTGCACATTACGAAGAAAAATGTTTAAATTACAAATAATTGAAATGATTACTTAAAAACAAGAAGAAATCGATTTCAAGATATTCTATAACTTGACAGTTCCATTTGTGAGTTAAATTTAATTTGTGAGTTAAATTTAATCTGAACTATCCGCTTCAACGCCAAGCGTCATGTGCCATTATCGTAGTCAACTTTTAGCTGATACGTGAAAGCCTTGCCTACTTTGAGGCGTTGCTCGCACACTTGTACATACACACAGCACACAACACACAACACACAAGAACCATACATCTACACACGCATATGATACGTACTTACCATATAATTATATTAGTTGTAAGCAAACCCATTTCAAAAACAGGTCGAAAGGGCTTTAAGTCAATTTTTTGTTGGCTGTTGCACAATTTTCGAATTTTTCACGCAAAGCTTTTCTCATTTGCTATGTATTAGGTTACATAATTTGTTTAGTCTTTAGCCGTATAGCTTTGTATATAAGTGCAAGCATACATACCTAGATATTATATGTAAGTCTTCTATGTATGCGTATGAAAATGGTTTAAAACATGAACTATGAATGTACTCGTACCATGATTCACAATTACTAAGCGAAACTCGAAAATATTGTTGATACCTGTCTTGAGATGATTCCAAAAACGTACAACCAGACAACTATAACACATACATAAAGAACAAAAATGATAACAAAGATTAGAATACAGATAAAGCCCATATTTTGTGTGTACACTTTGTGAAAACGCCATTGAGCGCAAATATTATACATATTAGGTAATTATGTAACAAGTAAATGTTAAATATAGAGACGCAAATAGCAACAAAACAGCCCACAGATATACTTATGCAGACCCTAAATATTATATGATAAATCAAAATCAAAACTGAATTGACATTTCGCAGAAATATATACACGAGAAAATACGTATTATATATACACACAATACCAGAGAGATGCAATACAAAATATATAGAGAAAGTGGGACAGGAGTGACAGAGAGAGAGAGAGAGATGCAAACTGGAGAAATGATATTTATTTTTATGTACCGAGATGCAAATGAAATATATCTACGTATCTACAAATATTAAAATTTTTAAATAGTGTACACATATATGTATATGTATGAGCAAAACAAAAGTAACTACTTGAAGCTATATCTCTATGTAGCTGAGTACGGCAACAATTAAAGACCCATAATAAAAACTTACAATTACATATAACTAAATGTCAGCATATCAAATATGTTACAATATTTTCGTGTATTCTTTGCTGATGGTTGGCTTTATCGGGATTAGCTTAATTCCCTTGGCAGAATTGTGCAAAGTAAATTAATATTATTTTTATTTTTTTTTTCAATTGTCTAGCCAAATATTGTATATAGAATTGGCAAACTAACAATGGGAGGTGGGAATTCCATTGTCATAGAAGCGCATGACTAGAGTCCTATGATGTAAATGGGTGTATCGATGTTTGGATATCACAGAGTTATAAAAACTGAATATACATGAATACACGGATTAGATATGATCATACTACTACATCGTTTTGTTTGCAGGCTGCAGATTAGGTTGCTATTAAATTAATCCCAACCATATACAGGTGTCGAGGAATCTAACACGGTTAAATTACAGATTTTTGAAAAACTTGGTCCGTTAAAATCACGATCCAATTCTATCGAACTCCACTCATGAATTATGGGATCAGCTAAGACCCTAAACACTTAAACATATATTACTCGCAGATCGAACTAAAATAAGTCCAAGTCATAAAATCATTGCTTCTCGAGAACTACGAAGACCATTTCTACACACATTGATCAGTTGGTAGACCTTGTCAAAACGATCTGTGTGGCACAGGAGTCGCTAGGACTTGGGAGTATACGAGCAAAGTATGAGCAATTTTCTATCTTAAGAAAAGTTATTTTATTTCAGATGATTGATTCGCCACTGTGGTGCAAAGGACATTCCGATAGTCTTTGAAATGACGAAATTGCACCCTTGTGTAATTTTATGGCAAATTGGTTTCTCGAATTCTTTATATTTCTATAGATCTTTGATTGCTCAAAATTAAGAAATTAAACAACAGATGAATTTATGATTGAGTTTGTTGAATTCCAATAAAACTTATTATATTTTTAACAGATTTTGTGATCTCATTGTCCATGAAATACAAAAACAAGTCATTCTGCAGATTGTTTTGCACTTGTTAAAGTTTTTGATAAGCAATAACATCGAATCGAATCGAAACTATAAACAAATAAAACAAAAAGGCTTAGTACGCACAGTTATTATCTTACTTGTCATTTAGAAATACAACGTAATTATGCAATATTTATAAGCATCGTGGCGTAGGTTTCGTAGCGTGTTTTAAATGTTTGCACATCTGGTATCAATTGAGTTTTGTGCGCTGGTATTATTGAGTATAATACACAAATATTGAAACAGTAGCATATGCTAAAAGCAGTAGGAAATAAAATTGAAAGCTAAATTAATATCGCAATTTCAAACATGTTCATAATGCATAGTCTCCATTTTAAATGAAGTTCATTTTGTTATACCAAGTCTATAAATATTTAATTTCAGTCAAAAATATACTGAAATTTCTCGGGAACATGATTCCTTACTTATTTCAAATGATTTTTAATCATAACGTATAAATTTATTTACCAACCGTTTTCACTCATCTAGCTTAAATTGCAATTTAGTATCTGTTTTAGACCATGAATTGGTTAGCATTGAAGTCTGTTGGGGAATTTTACCTGCGTCGATGAGAGGGAAAACACAGCTGTGCGTATTCTTTAAGCGAGTTTTGGTCAAACATTTTTATAAACATTTATATATATATATAATATACAAAATTGCCACATTGTTGTCAAGCGCCGACTATAAAAGCATCAACTTCAAGCGATCTTTGAATTAATTCTTTCGAGATGTTGCGAGTACTTTTGGCATTATTCTCAGTCAGTGCCGCATTGTCTGCGGTCTACGGACAAGTCGACTACTGTGACGAGGACCTGTGTGGGACGAGCACACACATTGCCTGCGACAACGATGTGGTAGGTCTACCTCCATATATTCAACATATTCATTATCATTCTATCAACAAATTAATTATAAATACAATTGGATACATTGAAAAGTCTATAAATTGTGAGTTATGTGTTACGTCGGTGTTTCCTTCCGCCTGTCCGTATTAATGTCTCTTGACGCTAAAGACTTGAAACTTACAATATTTACTGCTTCCGACAAAGTGCTAAAATTGAAGTGCGTTGCATGCCAAGTTGATAACACATCCATAAGTTCTGGATAAATTCTAGAGTCAGCTAATTTTGAAGGTGTATTGCTGGAAACATCCTCTAATCATCCTAAAAATCCGTCCCAACCTTCCGCAATGGGCTGTTTCACTTTGTTTCCAACTGTCGCCATCTGGTTTTACATTGATATCAGTGCATCACGCAGTCGGTATAACGATTTAATTTACAGGGTTGGGGTGCGAGCTGTCCGACAAGTCCGGCGCCTTCCCTTATGGTATTCGACCTGGCGAAGAGGCAACATGTGGTTCGTATGCACAACGTCAGGCGCAATAACTTGGCCTTGGGCAAGCTGGCTAATTACCAACCGGCGAAAAGAATGGCCACCATTCGCTGGAGTCCAGAAATGGCAAAAATTGCCGCTTTTAATGTGCAACAGTGTGTGATGCAGCATGATGAATGCCGCAACACGCAAAAGTTCTCATCTAGCGGGCAGAATTTGGCATTTATTGGCTACACGGGCGCCCAATCGACGCGTTCAGACCAGGATCTGCTTACCCAGGCTATTAATATGTGGTGGAATGAGAATAAGAATGCCAACATGGCAGTCATTAACAAATATCCAAACTCCTGGGTTGGACCGTAAGTGGTAATAGTCGGTAATCTGTTGCAAACATTTCTCATTTCTCATTTTTATTTTGCAGCGCAATTGGCCACTTTACGGTCATGGCCCGGGAATCGAACATTGCCGTCGGCTGCGCTGGCACCACATATTTTGAGCGTGGAATGAATAATGTTCTTATAGCCTGCAACTATGCCACCACCAACTTTATTGGTAGGCCCGTCTATGTGCGTGGCACGGCGGCATCTGGATGTAAGACAGGCAAGAACGTGAACTATGCAGGCCTCTGCAAGGTGAACGAGGCCTATACTCTTTAGATTGCGACACCTGAATAATAACAGAACATTACAATAAATGTACATTTTCTATATTACTGGTGGCGTTAAAAATCATGGTGTCAAGTCTAAACGAATTTTGATTTTTACGGTACGTTATCTGTGTGGTAAAAAAAAAATAAAGAACGTTCCAGTCTGGCGTAACTGATTGCGAAATACTCTGATACCAGTGTAATACCAGCTGTAAACAAATGAAAAGAAGCCTTCAAGCATTTGAGCAAAAAATGATCTACTTCGGACAAATATATTATTTGGGTTGCTCAGTAGTTTGAACTGGGAATTTAAGTTATTGTCTACCAGTTTAAGCACACACATACCCAAGTAACATGATCTATATTTTGGTTCTGGTGCAGTCTTTTCGGGACAAATCAAATCAGTTTCGGTATATAGATTTTATCATTGAATTTAGGTTTCAATTCCTACTCTGAATTTCAATCGACAAGAATGCGGTTCCGATTACAGTTTTGGCTTGAAACCCAACAGAAAATGCTTTTTGTTATATTTCACAAACAGCAGAAAACTGAGCACTGAATACAATTTCGAATCCTTACAAATAATTATGTCTTACCAGATTAAAAGTTCTGAAATTTAAATAGCTTTGGATCTTGATTTTGTGTCATAGTGTATTATTATATATCAAAAAACCCGTCAACATGGGATTTCTACATCATATGAGTTCAATATGAGCAATGTTCCGAGTGTGACTAGATTAAGTCACCTGTTGTCTCTGATCACCAAATTGATCTACTTTATGGGGCCGTGAAAGTCTTCTTCTTTATACCCGTAGTACACGTGTTTCGATTATTGCCGTATTGTAATACATTCCAACATTATCAACACTTGCACTGCACAATAAAGTCAGACGTTATCGTGAACAAATAATTATATGAACAACAAGAGACACTTTTACTGAGCTGGCTAAATGAGAATCCGTACTACACACTACTACCTATATCGATGCATACAATGCATTCAGACCGACTAACCTGACACTCCTGGACATGCTTATATATTCTGTTTAGGATCGGCTGATGTCTTCTTTTTTTACTACATACATATCTATTTTTAATGGGTACACGACAAACAAAATTGGCTTTTATTTTAAATGCAATTAAGAAAATAAACACATGAAATTTAGCTCGTAAATCAATTCAAGAAGCACACATGGTAAGCTACGAGACTAATCTCCTTCTCTCTTTCTCTGTCTGTCTCTTTCTCTATGTCTCTCTTTGGCTTATCAGCTGTCTTTTGTACATTGTAAATGTGCTTTTTCGGGGGATCTAGCAATGAGTCACATCTGCTGATTACGAGCATTTTGAAGTCGCACATTGGGATTCGCAATTCTCAGTTGTTCTTGGTTTGTTGACACTTTTTCAGGCTGCTGTATCTGGTGTATCTGGTGTATCTGGTGTATCTGATGACGTGTCGGGCCTCTTTTCAGCTCTAATCGTAAATAAATGTTTGTATTTTATTGCGAGAGCTATGGCAACTTTCAGAATAATATTTAATCAAGTGCTACGCCCACTAGATAAAGAGCCCCAACACGGCGGAATTGCATAAAAGCCACGGCAAATGCCAGAGCTGGCAACAAACGTGATACGATATTGAAATGCGCAACATCTTATCCATAACAATTTTAGCCCTGGCTCTGGGCATCGCCTGTGCCTTTGACTATTGTACGAGGAACTGTGGCACCACACCGAACATTGGCTGCAACAACGATGGCGTAAGTAATCATCGAAAGGGGTACCTTCAATATATATACAGGATATACTGTAGGCAGTAATTTATTGTATTTATTGTATTTTAAAGTCCTGGGCTTCTACCTGTCCCCCCGATAAGACCTTGCTGACTCTGACGACTGCCGAGAAGAATGCGATTGTGGCCAAGCACAATGAGCATCGCAATTTTATTGCCGGTGGCGGTGACAGCAAATTGTCACCCGCCTGCCGCATGGCCACCATGGAGTGGGACAATGATCTTGCCTATCTCGCCTCCCTCAACGTCAAGAGCTGTGAGATGCGTCACGATAAATGCCGCAAAACGGCCGCCTTCGACTGGGCTGGCCAGAATCTGGCCTGGATCGGTTATTTCGATCCATTGAACTCGTTGACCAATGCAATTCGTGGCGTGGACATGTGGTACGACGAAGTGGCCGATACGACTCAAGCCCATATCGATGCCTACCCATCCAACTACAACGGACCCGCGATTGGCCATTTCACCGTTATGGTCGCTGATCGCAACACCCGTGTGGGCTGTGCCGTATCCACGTATTCGGTAACTGGCCAGTCCTACAAGGCCTACCTTATGGCCTGCAACTATGCTGCCACCAATGTCATCGGCATCAAAATGTACACCAGCTGCGCAGTGGGTGCCAGCAGCTGCACCACTGGCGTCAATCCAAGCTACCCATTCCTGTGCAGCTCCAGTGAGGTTTACGATCCCAATAACTTGTACTACTGAATAGCTTACCATCAGCACTGATAGTGAAATAAATAATATGCATGCAAAACTACAATTGAATTTAATTGGAATTGCTGTCTTCTATTGAGTTGCTGGAAATTGGCAGATCTTCATCGATTACAGCGCAAGTTCGCCCGACTGCACCGTTCTCTCTTGTTTAATTAATCAATATTAACACGGTTGTATCTGATTCATTGTAATCTTGTCGGCAAATTCTTTACGCTTTTTCTACAAACATATTATGTGGCATACTCTTATGCGTCAGTGTTTAATTCTGGAGTGCAAACAGAAGAGATCTTTTTTGGGCTTTCCTAGTTTATTTAAATCATACCTTTGAACACTGTATATACAGCTAGCCAACATAGCATTTGGAGTACGTTGCTTTGGGCTTTATCAAAAACTACAACAGGACTTGGTGTGTATACATTATATATATTAAATATAGCTGAGACAGAAAAACAAGACGAGTCTTGCCTTGACGTGTTTTACTACTCACTCTTCAGCATTTAAGATATATATAGGAAATATTGTACAATTGAGTGTTTCTCGACAAATACAGATCAATTGCGATGAATAAACTAAATCTAGCTTTAGGAAAACTATATTATCATATTCTTTAAACTTGTAACTTATATTTCATCTAATGGATTGAAATTAATGCACGAAAAATACAAAATGAAGGCTTCATTACTTTAACTCCTGCTTGATGAATACTTATGTATTCAGAAAAAATAGTCTTAAATACAGAATTAATACAAAATAACTAGAACCATTTCCTATGTTTTAGAAATAATTTCGAAATGTACAAAACAACAAATTCTACAAATTTTAAAGTGTTCTTTTGTATTTTTTTCAGAAATACGTTTGCAAATAAAAAATAATTATCTCATTGGAAAATTGTTTTCTGCAATTCAAGGAATAGTAATGAAATTTGCTCTCTCCACGGCTATGTTTGAGTTTAGCTGTTGTCTGCATTAGAGGCTGCTAACTACCTCGAGCTCAATTCGCAGTAAAATATAGAAATATAGTTTCTGAATAATAAGGTTGATGAACTCACCAACCCTTAACGCCAAGAGTATTTCGATTTTCTAAAATTCAGGCCAATTTATTTGTTGAGTGTGTATGTATTCATCAGATATCATCTTGTTGCTTCATCTGCGCTTGCCTCAGGCAAGCGTTGCTTTTCAACATTGACTGTTGCTCTTCAATCCCGTTGTCTGCTTAACGGTAGTCGGTGCTCTGATTTTGATTTCCATATGCGATTGCAAATGCGGATTGCTGTCGGCAACTGTTGCCGATAGCAATTGTGCGCTGTAAGCGTGTGGCAGCAACAGCTTCAAACCAATATACATATAAACCCTTCGAACCCCCGCGCGCACATAACTCATGTGCCATCGTCCGCTGTGCTCTGTCATTGTTGTTACAAGTCGAATTTGTCATGAAATGTTTTGGTAATCAATTTATGTGTTCCGTCGCGTCTTTGCCGAGACCCCCACTCCCCACTTCCCACTCCCCACCACACTCACACTCAACTCAATTTGCAGCTGTGTGTAGTATTCGCTGTAGTCTGCCGCTTGGCACCATTAGTTTTGTGGTCCAACCACATAGCCGGCGACCGACTGGCAGCTGTCTTCATCTCATCTAAGTTTTCTGACGAAATTCACCTTCCGAGCTCGACGAGCTAACTGATATTTCTCGCGCTGTGTTATTCCCAGCCACAGTTGCCTTGAGGCCCTTCGTTGAGCTCTGCCTTCGACGGCTTTGGCTTCAACATCAGCATCGGCATCAGCATCAGGTTCTGGTTTAGCTTCAGCTTCGGCCTGTCGTACGTGAAAATGAAGCATTTTCCATTTGATGATAAGAAAACATGTTTGGCATATTGATGAATGCCTCCAGAGAATTGTTGTCCTCAGTGTGTGCACTCTGTGTCTGTTCTGCCAGTGCCGTGGCCCATAAAGTAGCTTGCCACGCGCTGCAGCACATCAACAACAACTTGCGGCAAGGATTGGAATTGGGTGGCAACGACCACCGACGGCTCGATTTTAATGATGTGACTGACGGAAGCGAAAGCGCTTACCAAAAATTTACTCTGCCTGCCTCCCTTTTTTTTTTTGTTTTATTTTTTTTTTTGTTTTGATATTTTTTCATATTTCGTTGGCCGGCTCTTGTTGCCTTTGCCCTACACTCCCCACTCCCCACCCACCACCGTCCCCTACACGACCTGGTCTGTTGGTCTGTTTATTTATGCGTGTGCCGGAGTTTGTTTGCTTTGTGAATACGTGATGCGCCCACGGGTAATGGCGGGCGGAATCGAACATGAAGGCGTCGACGACGACGACGAAGACGAAGACGGGGGTGAGATTGAGTGGGGTAGGGGAAGTAGGATAAGGTAAGGAAGCTGCTTACGCCAGCAAAAATGTTTTTAGTTGCCAGCATTCGTAATATTAATAATAATAAAAATAATAATAATAATTTCTCACTTCATTTGTTGCGCAAATCGAAAATGAGCTCTGCTTTTTGAAGCATTGGGTATGAAATTGCCGCCACTCGCCCGCTCGCCCGCCCGCCCCCTCGCCCCCTCGCCTCCTCGCCTCCTCGTTCGCTGTTGCCTTATTGCCTTATTCCTGATGACCGCTGATGGGTTTTTCTCTGTGCTCTGGATACGGTTTGAATTTTTTATGAGCTGGCAGCGCTGCGTATGCGCAATTTGTGCAGACAACGGTAATCGGTGATGATGCAAAATTCGTTGCCTGCAAGACATTTTCCTCTGCCAGCCACAGTAATAACTGAGATTCTAGCAAATTTTCAAGCTACAAATCGTTGAAATTCAATTACAGCAAATTACAGAACGCAACAGCTCAGGATAAGGAACAGAAATTGGGTGGCAGTTTGAAAAAGTAGCTACAATTTAAATTATCGGCAAGGTGTGCGAGTCAGTGTGTGTTTGTGCTGGTGTGTGCGAATATCTTTTTAAGCGGAGCGCAGGAAGCCATAAAAATGGTTGCTGCCAGGAAGCAGAAGCGGCGCCAACTTTTGCAGAGATACGAATTCAAGGCAGGCAAGAGTTTACAGGTTCAGTGTGCTCCCTCTCTCTCACTCTCCATCCATAGCTACAACCTGCTCTCTCTCTCTCTCTATCGCTCTCTCACTTGCTCGCTGTGCATGCTGCTAAAAAAGCGCTTAAACTCGACGACGTATTAGCATTTCACTTTAGCAAAGTTTATCGAAAGGCAGTCATAAGGCAATTTATAAACGGACATGCCAAAGTTTTGCGGCTCAAGTTGTGCGGAGAGCAGGGTGCCAGGAAGGCAGTTAACAAATTGGATCGCCAACTAAAATCACAGAGGCGAATTAAATGTGCACGTTAAGATATGAAGTTCTTAAGTTTGAATTGAATTCCGGTTCGCAGCTGGCTAAAAAAAAAAATCATTGCACAAGTCAGATACTATCTGGATATTAATGCCACTGTTTATGTCGTGCGGCACTCAGCTTCTTTATTTCTACTACATTTGCTGCTGCTTCAACTTTGGCTGGGAGCCACCCCTCCCTAAATCATATTAAATTAGCTGCCAAGTTGCGAGCCAATTTCAATTTGCACGCGCTGGCAAAAAATTCTTTCTCTTGCTTTTTCTTCCACTTTTATTTGTATTTTTATGTTACCTTAAACAGCACCCAACCATCTCGGTGCCTCTTACGTGTCGTCGACATCTTGAGTGTTCAAGTGTGTGTGTGTGTGTGTGTGTGTGTGTGTGTGTGGTTTGTCAACTGTGTGCTTGGCTTGCATGTCGTAGCACACTTTTCAGCGTGGCCATTCATTAATCAAGTTCAGGGCTCTTTAAAGTGGCGCTGACTTTGTCGCACCATTGTCAGCACAGCACACAGCACACATCACACACCAAACACGCACACCACATACTCATACCACACATGCACACACTGCCACGCATAAAGCATATTATAATGATGCAATAATAAAGCCGCAGAAGCAGTTGGCATCCGCCTTATAACCAAGCAAATCCTGAGGGAGGCGTTCTTGCCACGTCCACTCGCACGCCTCCTCCCCTCACACACACACACACACACACACACACACACTCATTGGCCATAAACGTTGATAAAGTCATAAAAAACCAAACATGGCCAAGAGAAAAAAATATATATAATATGGCCCCGCAGCATCTTAGCAGCCCAAGCAAACAAAGGCTTAGCCAAGGGGTCCGTTCTAAGCAGTCGGCATATGTTGGCCTCAACAAAAACAACAGCAATAATATCTACAGCTATAGCTATAGATATAACAATAACACATTGCGGTTCTTATCAGGCAGGGACCAAGAAAAAACTAAGCAAACTCTCGCCCCAATCCCTGGGGCGCCACTCATCGCCGTCCGGTTGCGAGTTAAATTGAGCGAACGCATGCAACTTCAGCACAAATACGAATAGAATAATAAAAACATATACAAACATACACATAGGCACATATATAACACATATGTATAGGTATTTGGGCTAAGTAGCACACATTAAACGCGACTCCCGGGGGTGCAGTTGACACGCCAAGTCCAAAGGTAACATTGGGGCAGACCTCAGAGCTGGGCCTCATTAGAGCAGCCATCAATCAATCAATTGGCTACTGGCATACCTGCTTGAGTGCAAAGGGAAAACTTAATTTATAACTTATAAATTATAAGCCAGTGTTCTTTTGAAATCGACCTTTTGAGCTGCACTTTTGCAGTTCCAATTATTAAACGAGTCAGACAAAAGTCGGTGGCATACACTGCGAATGCGCAATAATTAATTATTATACATTTCTTATAGTTCAACCTGACTGAGCAATCGAAGCAGCAAGCTGCAGCTGCGAGGTGTGCATATAAAAGACAAAATAACAGCAGGATTAATCATCATTTCAATTTCATTTATGGGCAAATACGTACACAAATTACAGATGGGCAAAGTATTGATCCATCCCAACATGACCGGCTTCGGTATACAAAAATACAGCTCAAATATTGTTACATTCCAAGTTTCATCAAGATAGCTTCAGAAGTGGGGAACTCGACTAGACAGGCATATCTATATGGACTTGATTCGTATTGCTGATCAAAAATCAATATATACAGTCTGTATTTTTGCCTGGTCTTCAGCAAGTGTTGTAAAGTTTGCTTCGGAAAGCACAGCTTCATTTGCTTCGTGCATATTCACATAAAATGCGAATACAACTACAAAAACATGAGCAAATATAGCCATATATGACGATAGAGTTACAAGCACACATGTATGTAGATGCACTTATGAAGTATATTATAATAAGCACTTACTGTTAATGACATGACAGACCTTATAATTCGAGCACTCAACAATGGCAGCAGCAGCAACAGCTGCAGCAGCAGCAGCAGAAGCAGCAGCAACAGCAGCGTCAACGTCCAATGACTGACAATAGCTTTCAGCTATACTTTTTTGAATATATATAATACCCTGTTATCAAGGGAGTGTGAGGGGAGTATGACAATGTTGTAAACAGCGGGATTAAGTTACCTCCGATCTTACGGAGTGTTTATGGTTTCGATTAGCATTAATTGACATATTTCTGAATAATAAATCTATTTTCTAAAAAATAAGGCAAAGGTCTTCCTTTTTTTAAACCACTTTCAACAAATAACTTGTTAGCTTGTGATAAGTTGAACTAAATTGGTAGCATTTCGCATTTTCAAATAGATAGTTACATTTTCAATTTTATTTTTATTTTAAATTCAATTTTTTGAGAGTGACGGAATTTATTATACTATATAGCCACGATCGGATCACGATCTTCGCTGTTTTTCATTGGCGAGAATATATAGCTTTCGGCAACTGTATAATAGTAACTCTTTTTTTTGAATTGAAGCCCAATTGCTTATCAATCAAGAGAGAAAACACACTCAGAAAATGAAATTGATCGAATTTCGAAGGATCGTCTTACTTTTGATACTTTATTAATCAAAAGGTATATTTTAAAAAATTAATAAATTAAGCATTACTATTTGAAGATTTCATATATGCAATAAACCTTTTAGAGAGCATTTAAAATTCATGTAATTGAATTTAAAAGAACTTACGATTTTACATCAAATCCAACCCTACGTTCACAAGTCGATTGACTTCCCAATGAGCTGCAACATCTAAACCTAAACATATCAGTCGAGAACGCAAAATTGCATTACTATTTTATGAATTTCAGAAAGGATTTTTTGTGTTTTTTTCCGATTATATTCGGTTATTATTATATTATATTATTATATTATATTATTAAGAAATAGATTACTGAAAAATAGAAAAAAGTTACAAATTAGAGAAAACTTGAATAATTTTCAGGGCGATTTTCCAAAATTCAATTTGGTTTTTTCTGTGTACAACTACAATAAAATGGTCAGCATTTAATTGCTCGAAATTAGCTACAACTTGTTACATCTGTGCCTCCAGAAATTCGTTGTTTCTACTGCTGCCGTTGGTTGCCATTGTTGCCGTTGCTGTTGTTGTTGTTGCTGTTGTTGTTATTGCTATTGTTGATTGTCTATTAATAAGTGCTGTGTAATGCTGTCCAAAGTTTTGACACCTGGCCACCGTTTAATGCCGTGAGCGCCAACGGGGATTGGGCTTGGCAATATCGCGAGCAGCATCTGCGTCACCATACTCTTCATCTCCATCTCCATCTTCATCTTCATCTGTGCCTCTATCTGCATCTTCTCTGTGTCTATCTACAATTTCAGATCTCATTATTTCTAGCTGGTTTATAGTTTTGCTTGTTTGCTAATTGCTAATTAGCAGTTAATATAATCATGCAAAATTGTATGCAAATAGCCATGAAATTATGTCAATTCCCGTCGACAATTAATCTATTGGCCTATTGCGTCCGTCAACAGTCCGAAAATGTGCCAAAAGCAGCGGGGGAAAGTTTTTGATTTAACATTGGAAATAATTGAAGACCAAATACACATAGCAATTACCCAACAAATTGGGTGTGCCAAAATAATTATTTAGCGAAACAACAATATTAAATTGATAAGTTTTTCAAAGCATTCGCTGGTTGCTAGCTAGTTGGACAGCCAATTTTCGTTAGACCATCAAAAAGTGGCAATTATATAATTATTGTTAGTTCTTACCTAACACTGAACTAAAAGCCTAACTGAAATATTTTTGAATAATTCCAAATTCAATTGCGATTATTAATGGATGAATGATTTTTGTTTGCGCCTGCATTGTTTGAATTGTATGAATATAAATATATAAATGAATATTAAATATATATAATAATAGTAAATCATGACCCACCTAGGCACAGGGTATTTACGAGTGCAGAAAAGTCGACTGCAACATTTTTGTTCGTTTGGTTTTGTCATTGAAGAACGAGCACCCTTAAAATTCGATCGAAATGTTGTCAAGTGAAAGTTTGTCTTGATAACTTTGATTTATTGACATATGAATGAGCGAGTCATGTGAGCTCCTAAGTGGTACAACCATCCATTCACCCATCCAACCAGCCAGCCCCACCCCTTCCACACTCCTCTTTCCCACTTCACATTGAGCAACTTGACAATTGGAACAGCTGTTGTTGTTGCTGCTGCTGCTGCTGCTGCTGCTAGTCTGAAGTTTCAACGGATTATGCTGAGCTAAGCTGCCAGCGTGAATTTACATACAGAAAACAAAAATAATAATAAATAAATGCAGGCGGGTAAACAAAGCGCTTCTAAACAGCTGCCTGCTGAGCGTTTAGCAGTTGAATGGGTGGATGGGTGGATGGGTGGCATGGAGGGGCAACTAAAATTACTGTCTTTGTTGGCGGCGAACAAACATAATTGCAATTGGAAATTAATCAACAACAGCAAACAGCAGCAACAGTGGCAACAGCGGCAACAGCGGCAACAGCGGCAACAGCGGCAAAAGCAGCAGCAAGCGTTCCATCCGACCAAACAAGCTGCATTTGTATTGTTTTTGCATCAAATTACCAAATGTTTAATAGCTACAAATACATGCATGGAAAGAAAAACACAATATGATAATAAGCATTATCGTTATTAATATTATTCTTATTGATATTTATCAAGTTGGCTGCAGCAGCTGAAACAGCTGAAGCAGTGCTTGGCCCATTGGACGGCGTTGGGTTGCAGCGTTACAGCTGAGCGATGTTGCATGATTGGGCATCGGTCGACGCGTTCGACTGTCGATCAACCGAGCTGCGGTCTTTGCGGCATTGTGGTTTTCGAAGTCAAGGCTAAGGGGCGTGGACCGCTGGCTGCCATCCAAGTGCGATAATTAAGGCTTCACATACATACAAAAACCAAATAAAAAACGCTGATTGTTTAACCAGCAACCGTGGCAGCTAAGAACTGGCAGCCACGAACTGCTGAAGGGCAACAAACACGCACACACACACACACACACACACACACACACATTGTAAGTGCTTGCATTTAGTTGTATTGGGGCTTCCCCCGATCCATTAAGCCAAATTTTAATAATCGCGATAATATTCTTATTATTTTTTTGCAATCGTCAAACTTGCTAATATTCGTAAGATCAAAGCAAATCTTTAGCTTGTACTAGTTGCTTAGTTAGTTAGTTTAACCTGTTTGCAGCACTCGACAACAACAGCAACGTGCACTTCTGCTTCGCCCTGCCCCCTTGGCAACTTTGGCTTTTAGCCTCGTTTGGATTAGACATAAGAGTGCTAACGATGTCGATGCCGTTCGTACACAGAGTAACCAAAAGTGACAAGGCGAAAATAATTGGAAACATCAATAGTAGCATTGACGTGTTCACAATTAATAGCGAAAGGCAACAATTCGCCATTGCACACACACACACACACACACACACACACACACGAGTACATCTGTGCACATAGGCACTGCAGACAACCTGCGTAAATTTACTTAAATGAGGTTGTTAAGTTACGATATCATCTTATAGACCTGAACATATATATTGATTACTTTGAATTGTCTTTTATTTTTATTTCACTAATCAATTCAATTCTATATATGCCAAATCTTCAGATCTTCTTTCTTTGCTCCTGCTCCAACATGGCTGATCAGAACGAGCGCGCCTTCCAAAAGCAGTTCGGCGTTAACCTAAACCGTCTTAATTCAGGCGAAGCCAGACTTCACCAAAAAGAAGATGCTCCGCCGCTAGAGAAATGTTGGTCACGGCTCTAAAAATCCCACGTGGGGCCACTTTCATTGACAGATATAAATTTGCACATATGTAAATGGCCCAGCAAATGAATGAGATATTTGCATATATCTTTTGCTGGATCAATAAAAATACTATTTATTTTTTTTTTGAATATGATTTTTGCTGGCTCCATTTCAAGTGCCGACATATTTAAATTTTAAAGAAACAATAACATATTTAGTAGCATTCCCGAGTCTTGCAACTGGCTATTCTATATTGAACTACTACGAAATCTGAATAGAGTCACATATTCGTCTATATATTAATATGCGTATATATAAATTATGTGTATATTTATTTATATATAGGCAAATGTGTATTTGTCTTAAAAATTTATTTATTTAGTTCTCTTCTTTTTTTGTTTGAGACTGGCAAATGTGGAGGCAGACGCAAGCGCAGACACTATCGAGGCGCTTATCAAACGTCGCCAGCTCAGTTGCCTTCGGCGTCGGCGTCGGCATCAGCGTCGGCGTCGCCGTCGACTTTAACGTTGACGTCGGCAACGCGCCGAGCTTGGATCTGGGTGATCGACGCGTCGCGACGCATCGCATGCCACCCGCACAGCTCTGTCGTCACGACGCCAGCGTAGACGCTGACTGCGTTTACCGTGCGGCGAGTCGACGGCTCTCATTAAATTCAATACAAAATTTTAGTCGCTGAGTTCAACTCAACGTCGCTGGTTTAGGTATATAGCAAAGCTAGTTAACTAAGCACAGCTTAAACTACACCAAAAACTAACAAAGAACAATAAACAATACACAGTACACAGTTACAACGGGTTTTGCCATGTTATTGTTATTACTGTAGAAACGCTACAAAAAAAAACAAAAAAAAAAACAAAAAAAACAACAAAAACGAAAAGGAAAAGGAAAACCCTTCATACAAACGTGCAGCAAATTAAAGAACACATCCTGGCAAGGCGAGCGAGCGAGTGTAAAGGAACTGTAAAGGAACAACACGCTTTACCTATTGATAGTTATCTAAAGTGAGTTTACCGTTTAGCGTATATCAGTGTGAAAATATGTGTATATCAGTGTGTATCTCTCTCTGTGTGTGTGTGTGTGTGTGTGCTTTTTACTACTAATTTCATTAAAGACATGTAAATTAAATCAAATTCGCGTTTGTCGTGAAATTTGTTTGCGCTCGTTCATGCATCTCCCTCTTACATTCTAACTACATACGCAGTATGTGTGTAAGCATCTGTCTCTCTGTCTGTCTGTGTGTGTGTGTGTGTGTGTATTTGTTTGACAATACAAAATTTACCGCATTGTTATTGTTATGCATAGCTCTCGTTGTTATTGTTGCGTGCCCGAGGCATCCAACCAAATTGCTTACTACAAATTGTCCACGTTCATATAACATTTATTTATGCTGTTTTTTTTTTTTGTTTAATATTTTATTTATCGTTTTTACTTATTTATTCAAGTTTTTTTTTTTTTGAGTTTCTATTGACTGGATTAATGATATTTCTGAAGTTTTTTTCATATTTAAATATTTATTTTGGACTTGTTGTTGCTTTCATTTTATTATTTTTATTGTGCCTTTTTTTTTTGACTAATTGATAAAGTTTTCCCCAATGTTTTTTGTGGGGATTTCTTTGGTGTTTGGATCTATTTTGATTAGTGTCAGACTGATGTTAAAAATTTGCGCAGGTTTTGTTTTGTGCACGTTATGTTGTTTACACACAAGTCGCTTCTTTGATTCCGCCTGTATCAGCCACTCAACCCCCCCAAGCAATCCTCCTTGGCATATTCAAGGACACACAGATGCGCACAGATCAGCAAGTGTGAGAGCAACTATTTTTAGCTCTTCATTTTATCGTTGAAAAAAGCGCAGCTAATTGTGTTTAATTGTTTTCAATTTAGACTTAAGGTAAAGCACAGCTTAACTTCGAATGATGTCGCAAGCCTTACACACCTCCACTCACCTACAGATTTGCCATTATCCATCCAAGTATCGGAGTAAAGTATCTTACAATTAGACATGCTATTAATAACTTTATGGACAATTCAGACCAACATCGTTTGTTTTACTTGTGTGTGTGAAAAGTTTTGTCAGCAGCCGGAAGTGGGTAAAAATATGATTAGTGGCATCCCAGCAAAATTTCTAGCAAATTTCCCGCAAATTGCATTTGTTTTATTAATTGGCAAAGGTCGATTCCCCAACAGCCCCGTCGCACCATGCACCACCGGTTCGGATCGACGCTGCCAACTCTAATAAGTTAATTATCATTTGTAATTTTAGTGTTTATCACTCAGTCGCTGTGTCCATTATTTAGCTAATATGGTCGAGCTCACCACTTCCCGGATTAACAACACTGTACCACAAAATTCAGAAAGCCAAAATTCAATTTTAACGTATTTCAAACAACATTGTGTTATGGCTAATTATGTGAGCTGAATATCAAGATATAAATGAATTGCTCTATTCAAAAGTTCTTATTCACAGCTATTTACAAGTACAATGTAAATAATGTCAAAAAATACAAGTATTTTAATCTAATGCAAAAACTAATGAATTTATCGTGGTATTCTGCTTATATTGTGCAATTGTAATAATGACAGATTTGAGATTAGCTGAAAACATGTTTCGATCTGTACAAATATAGATATGTTAATTAGTTGAATCTTCTTGCTAAATCCAATCAATGATTAAATTCGTTGAACTTGGACAAGACTATATATTCACAATTGTAAAATTGACAACAGACAGCCAGTATAATTGTTTGCTTGTCTGACGATTTGACTAGTTAATATGCCAGATCACGACACTTCCTGGTAGCGATTCCAAGGTTAACACACCCAAGCTCAAACAGAAACCCAAAAAAAAAAATAAATGCATCACCAACCCGATCGACGTGCCTGAAAATGTTGCCCATATTTTACTTACTTTACTATTAGGTTCAATGCACGTTTACAGAAAGTTGACTGACATTGAGTGTCAAACGAGACTGGCTAAAATGTGTTTGCAGCAGTGCCCTAGAAGTGTATTCGTAATGCTTATTAATTAAATACAGTTAATTCGCACAGACAGCGTAAGGTTTTCTTATTTTCAATATCACATCAACAAAATGATTGAAATTTTAAATTTGCTTCGTTATATATGAAGGACCACATAATAATTTATGTAGTTACATATATATAAATATACACATTCGAAATTTGACTGAACTAATTTACAATATCCAATTTATTGATTAACATTTAAAATGTCTATCTCCATAACTTGATTTTGTTTACGGCTTTAAATTAATTTGGGTGAGTGGATTGCCTAATTTGAATTTTAAAATAAATGCTGTCTGCGAGCTTACAAAATATATTTATATTATTAATATATTTTCGAAAACAATAACTCTAAAATGATTTCAAGAATTTTTATAAGAATGTATCTATTGACGACAAGCACTTAGTTTGTTGTTCAACTAAATTCAATTCCGCATTTGGGCTTGATACTATTAAATATAAACAACAACAAAAATTAAACAAAGGTTTTATATCCGAAAAAAAAAAAAGTTAACAACAACAGCAGAAGTGGACAGACATCACTGTGAATTATGAGAGTTATTAAGCAATTTATTATAATGAATGTGATGAATGTAAATAATTTAAATGATAGCGTCGTTGACAAAATCGCGAAATTGCATGTTAAGAGTATATGTTTAGAGCTCAGAATATTTTTCCCAAAGCGAGAAAAAACAAGATTTCTTTCGGGAGCTTTTGGCTGACTGTTTTGTTTTAGATAATACAATGTAAAATTATCAAACCAATTACATTTTTTATACATTTTCATTGTTGTACTTATTCTTCTCTTAGAAAAAAATCGCAATGAATTTTAGGAAATTGCCACACTTTTGGCATCGAGGGTAAATCAGCTTATTATTCAGAAAGTATATTTCGAAAAAGCAAAAATGTAGCGTATTTTTAAAGGGCGTTGAGGGTTTTGCTTTAAATGTATATATAAAATTCTTACATTAATTTTTTGATAATTACATTATTACATATTTGTTGCTTATCATATTGAGGAAGCTATTCTAATTAATTTTGTTTTGTGTTATTATTAAGACGATTTATTCTGATTGTACTTGTGTAATTTATGTACGTGCGAGAATTTGCCAAAGCAATGGGCACTTTTGATACGTTTGTTGGAATAACTGGATCACTTGGTCAATGTGTGGAATTTTCATAATGCGATCAAGAAATTTGATTTAAATGCAAATCACTGGCAAAAATATTTGGCAAGCCGAATTAAACAAAAGAAAAAGCAACTAAACTGCAATTAAAGGCAATTTAGAAACGTTAACAAAGCATGATAATGAACTTTATCATATATTCCAAAAAAAAAAATAAATAAAACAAATACACACAAGCACACACACACACAGATACACACACACACACACACACACACACACTTTGTATTCGCGTGCATGAGTCCAAATAGAGAGGCAGACACTATAATTAACACAAGCTTAAACTGAGTTGTCTTTGGGCGTCAGCGTTGACGGAAGTTGAAGATTAAAATGACCAGCAATGCACTTTATGGTTCGTTAGAAGTGTTTGTGTCTCTCTCTGTGTGACTGTCAAGGTCAATTAGCTCGACTTAATTTCTGTCACTTTTAATGCATGCTAACAAAAAGTAGTCGCCAACATTTAAAGTCGTTACAAACAGCCGAACAGTGCGAAAATCGAGTAGATTGATTTATGAGCATCATATATTACTAAATATGACTATGAGAATAGCTAGCATTTGTATTCAAAACTTAAAATGCAATATATATGCAAATGGCATATGCCAAAGAAAACAAGCAAAGTTCAGTATGAAATCTTTTGTTATTTGAATAGGTACTAAAATAAATTATTTTTATTTATTTATTTATATGGATAACCTAATTAATAAATCATTAGACCTTTATCTAGCAACTAGAAAATATGCGTAAATATGTTCAGAATATTTCTTTAGGTTTGTTGTGAATTTGAATAAATATTTGATTTGTCTGTGCCCAAACTTTGATACCTGTTTTAAATAGTTTGGTTTAAGCAAAGTCACGATTAGAAACGATTTTAGACTTGTCCAATTTATTAGATCTATTAGCAATGGCTCAAATCAATTAAAGCGCTTTATTCATTAGTATCAAATATATAAATATTTATAAATACACGTAATTACGCATTATGTGATATAAATACATCTGTAGTAAGTACGTATTAGGTCTTGCTGAATACGAATGAGCACAGATACAACATACAGTCGAAAGGGCCGCAATCTTTTTATTTATAGCATCAACAATCAGCACGTCATTTGCCGTTAAGTTAAGTACTTGAAGTAATTGAAAGTGTGTATCAACTGAGTGTTAAACTGCGAACTGTGAGAAGCTTGAGCCGCGAAGTAAGTAAGCACAGCAGAAGCACAAAGTCAGGTACTAAAGCAATTTGAGCAATTGGAGAAATACCAAAGTGCACACGCGCCCCAAGATAAGAATACGCAGACAGGTCGAGTCGAGCGACAGACATCAATGTAATTAGATTTTTCACTGCTTGTAATTCGAACTGACTTGAAATGCCAGACTTAGAGGTGCAAAATGTTTATTTGGATTGACAGTAGTACATGGTGGTATACGATAGTGATAATTGATAATGAAAATAGTTACAATACCAGGCTGAGCTTTAAACTCAACCATAAAATTAGCGTAGATGTCGTCGTCGTCGACGCTGACGCTGACGTTGATTGCAGCGTCGCGCTTGATTGACACTAGTGTTCCATTTATAGAGTAGAGGAAGAGTCGAAAACAAAAGCCGAAGCAAAACACAAAGTGAATCGAGGCAAAACTAAAACCTGAAATGGAATACAAGCGGCATACAAGCAGAATACTTTCCCCGACTGATTGTCACCGGCAAATAATCCAATCAGAATAAGTGGGAGATGCGCACAAAAATAGAATGACAACAAAATGTGACAGTGGACAGCGGCTAACGGAAAGTGAAGCTTGAATGCGCCCCGGGCTAAATGATTAATATGTACTTACAGTAGTTAAGCAGAAATTAGAGAGCGCATACAGATCACGATCACGATCACAGAACGCCTCGCCGAATGATCGATTACTCTATGCCCGATGCGATGATCAATTCGAAGGAATGTCGATTGAGAATCACTTTCCGAATTCCAAAGGCATGCAGAGTACACTCATAATTTGTCCAACAATTAAAATATTCCTATAAATTAACAACATCTTCTGGTTTTAAGAAATAATTACTAAATATACGAAGAACATTTTTTAAAATTAGAGAAGTTTTTGTTTTATTAAAAAAAATATATTTAGCAAATTTAAATCGCCGTAAAATTGTATACAGGTTTTTTTTTAATATTAAACTGTACGAATTTATAAGCCATCTGAAATGTATACATGAAATCTTTGCACATTAATGCTTAATAATGTGCAACTAAATAGTTAATTTTAGAGTCATGAGTACTCATATATAAAAATACCCTAAAATTATACTTATTTTTTCTAAACTTTAGAAAAATATAACCTGTAATTAAAACAGAAAAAACACTTTTTTTTTAGACGTTTTAGAAATATACTTTCTGAATAATAAGCTAAGTTTCTCTTGGGGCCAAAACTATGTTATTTTGCTATCGGCAAAAGTTGTAAACTGTTTTAGGGTCAGCCAGAGTTTAATATTTTAGCCTCGAAAATATAAGAAATCTTAAATATGAAACCATACAGGAACATAAAAGATCAATTTTGTGTGATTGTTTGTAATTTTGTCATAAATTAAGAATTATGCATGACATAGTAATCATGGAGTGTCATAGAAATATGACATGATATGATATGAAATAAATACCAGCAAGCAAATTAAGCGATTAAATTAAAAATGCATTTTATTAAATTATCATTTCTTGATTTCCAAACAATATCTGTCTAACATATATGATTAAATAATTATATCGAACGAAAATAAATAGTGTCGAGAGATTGGTTGGTTATAGATGGCTACAGAATAGATGCCTTATTTTATAGAAAAGTAGAATATATTTAGTTGAAATATTATACTTCATTTCAAACAAGTTTCAAAAAACCTTAGAAAACTTTTAATTATTTTATAAAATGCACGGAACTTGATTAGAATTTAAAATATGCAACAAAAAAACGAAATAAACAATACGAAGAGCTGGTTATGTCCTTGACTACTTGATACCCTTGCCCACTGCGGAACTCGAAGATCCATTTATGATAGCATTCCAACCACAAATCCGAGCAGTAATCAATAACAAAATGCAATAATTGCCTCTAATGTTTTGTAGATACGATCATGTCACCCAAAGACGGCGGCGGCATTGACCTCACCAAGCACAACAATAACAAATACACGCTCAGCCACAGCACAACGCAGCTGGCCGGCCAGGAGAAGGGTGCAGATGGAGGCGGTGCAAAGACAGAGACGCCGCCGCAGCGGACGTGGCGGGAAAAGTTGCGTGTGGTTGCGAATAATGTCACCGTGGAGCCGATACTTGCCGCCTACATTATGCCTAGCGTGCTCTCGAACCTGGCCACGCAGAACCTTAACTTGGAGAAGGCATGCCGCGTCAACATGGCCTACGGCGATGAGATCTGCGATGCACTCACCCGCCGCCAAACGGCCAACTATACGCTGTGAGTGCGGCAAATCCAATTCCATCCAATCTCATTTCATTGCCATTGGTTTCATTTAATTGTTTATCCACAGCGAGGAGGAGACGGTGCAACAGATGGTCGCTCGGATGGCGGCATGGAAGACGGTGATTCAGTCCCTGTTTCCCTGCCTCCTGATCCTGTTCTGGGGCTCATGGAGCGATCGCCATCGTCGTCGCAAGCCCTGCATCCTCATACCGGTGGTGGGCGAGTTCCTCGGCGTTGTTGGCCTCATGCTTTGCGTCTACTTTGAGGATGCACCCATGGAAGCTGCTGCGCTTACGGAGGCCATCTTCCCATCCCTCAGCGGCGGCTGGTTCACCATGCTGATGGGCGTCTTCAGCTACATTGCGGACATAACCACCGAGGAGGAGCGCACCCTGCGCATCGGCATACTCAACGTCTGCTTCTCGGTGGGCGTGCCAATAGGCATGGCCTTCAGCGGCGTACTGCTCAAGTAGGTGCCCCTCAAACCGTCAAATGTTCTTAGCCAAACACAAGTCACAACAGTACATTGAGCCACAACAGCAAATGAACAAGTTTGACCAACAATAGGAATGGCCAGACTCCAACTTATCCAAATAGACCCAAACAGGAACTTAAGAGTCAAATTATTAATAATTCTTGGGGGAACTTTGTGTTTTAAATTGGTAAAAACTGATACAGCTCAAAGTAATCAGGATTTATTCTTGTGAATTGTTGTAGATTAGATATTAAGTTAGATTATGATACTATAGCAGAGGGTAATACGATTAAGCTGTCAAGCTTGAAAGTATCAAAGGAGATATGTTCAACCCCAATAAGGTATATATATGTATATGTATATATATATGCTTGGTCAATATCACTAGCCGAGTCATATAACTATGTCCGTCTGTCAATCTGATTCTATGCGAACTTGTTGCTCTGTTTTGAAGCTATCTGGATTTTGGTATATATCTCGGCACATGTCGAAAGTGACCTTATCGGAACAATATATCTTATAGCTTTCGGACGTTGAATGTTGAGTTCTTGTGTGAAAACATTCTTGTTTAACAAGTTAAGCCAACCAAACTGCCCACTTATGCGTATTATTATCTTCCCCCCATTTGGGCAAAATATGATCAACATCATAGTGCTATGAAAGAAATATAACTTTCATAGGAAATTTTAAATTTATAGTAAAATTTAGATGGGTATGCAATCTTCGATGTTCCTATGATAGCCGTTCTTTTTTGATACTACTTATACTGCTTATTATTATTATTACTAGGGGGGAAAAACTGCACCGCGACCTATTTGATCTATTGTGCCCCCTTCTGAGCCTATAGCTCTTCCATCAGCCCCAACTCCCGAACGAATACGAGGAACTTTGTTGGGTTGAGGTCTACTATGTCTTTGCACTTCAAAACATGCGCCCCTAGAAGGCTGCTTCTTCTTCTAGCTAAGGCTACACACTCTGCCAGGATGTGTATCGAGGATTCCTCCTCTCTTTCACAAAACCTGCAGAGATCGCTACTATATATACCCAGTTTTGCCAGGTGACTCCTTAGTCTACAGTGTCCTGTCAATAGACCGGTGAGTATCCTAAGGCTGTTCTTTCCCATGGTTATAATTTGTTTAAATCGTACAAGATTATAACCACCTAGGAGAAATCTGGCTTGTCGGAGTCCCACTGCCTCCGACCAGCTCTGATGCCGTCTTTGCCTCTCCTCGTTTCTAAGTTCCAGTCGTATAGTGTGTCTCCCTATGCCACAATACGGTTCTGGTCCTGATAGGGCCTTCGTGCCCCCATTCTTGCTTGCTTGTCAGCCGCCTCGTTTCCCGCTATGTCCCTGTGGCCCGGGACCCATCGTAGGGGGAGCCTGTTATGAATCCCGAGTAGTCCCCATTATAGCTTTCAATGCTGTCTAAGGTGCTTAGTCATAATGTCAATTGTTAACGGACGACAACAAGATTGAATAATGGATAGCTGGTTTTTTTACCCCTTACTAAAAAAACCTTGACATGATACAAGAAATTTATTTTGAGTATATGGGAAAAATTGATATCCGACCTCTAAAATACTATATATCTTTAAAAATAGCTTTTATGAAGGAATACATTTTGCTTATAAAATCAACAAATAAACTTCAAGTTGTCATGGAAAAGTATTCAGGAAAGTTCATTGCAATTAGCTCAAAGCTAATGTTGCGTTATTGCATTGACCTGATTGTAAAACGTGGCACAAAATGTATAGAAGATGTTTAAATTTTAAGTGTAGTATTTTATGAAAAGGTTTGGTGTGACAAGAAGTTTGTTATTATGTATATTTCACATTATCGATTCGCAGGCAAATTGGCTTCTATGGCGTCTTCACCATTTCGGCAGCGTTTTATGTGTTGGCCTTTGTCTATGGCTTTTTCTATCTGGAGGAGCCCGTGGCTCGACCGGAGAAGACCCTACCGCACAAGAGTCTGCTGGCAGACTTCTTTGACAAGGAGCATGTGGTGCAAACATTCCGCGTTGCCTTCCAGAAGGGCGAGAATCAGCGACGTCAGCGCGTCATCCTACTAATGATTGTGGTGATGGTGATCATTGGACCGCTGCACGGCGAGATGGCGGTCACGTATCTGTTCACCCGTTTCCGCTTCAACTGGTCCGAGGTGGAGTTCAGTTTCTATTCCACGTATGCGATGTTCACGGGCCTCATCGGCGTCATCTTCTGCGTGGGCGTACTCTCGCACAAGCTGAATATCGATGATGCACTCGTGGGTGTGCTATCCAGCACATCGAAGATTCTGTCCTCGTTTGTATATGCCTTTGCCACACTGCCGTGGCATATGTATCTGGGCGGTTTGGTTGAGATCTTCAACGGCACCGCCTTCATTGCGATGCGCTCGATAGCCACCAAGCTGGTGTCCAAGGATGAACTGGGTAAGGTGAACTCGCTGTTCGGCGTTGCTGAGGCACTCATGCCCATGGTCTTTGCACCCATGTATACGACACTGTATGCTGCCACGCTCCGGGTGCTGCCTGGCGCCTTTTTTCTCCTTGGCGGCGGCCTAACCATGTTCTCCGTGGGCATCTTTCTGTGAGTATACCCACGTTCATCACTCAGACTCAAATTCATTAACTTTAATTTCGTACTTGTGTCATTCAGGTGGATGTACCGTTTCCAGGTGCGACAGCGTCGCAATGGAATGCGCACGGATACGGAGCATGCCTCGTTCCGGGAAACCAATGGCAACATCAATGCCATTGAGGCACTCGTACTGGCCAGCGAGGCCAAGGGTCAGTTGAATGGCATCATTGCCAATGTGATACACGAGTCCTTGGAGCATGCGGATCCAAATGCAGTCAATCCAATCCCTGCGACGCCTGCAACGACAACGACAACGTCATCGCCAGCGGCAGCAGCGCGGCAAAATGGCATTGAGAATCGTGGCTTTGTGCAGGACGCACAGGATGCCAATGGCAAGGATGCCTAGGATTCCCCATCTCCCCGTCTATTATTTGTATATGTTTCATAATTATTCTGTACCTACTTACTACTACTACTACTATGCGGGCGGGCCTGTTAACACCCGAACCCCCTTATTTCTGAATTGGGTTGAGCAGGTCGTGTATTATTATCTGTACCTACAAATACATACGTTAACGTATTGTACGATCTGTAAATTTGCTTAGTTTTAAGTGCGAAAAACTTGTTTACTATTCAATTTGCATAATTTTTTTTTGTTTTTGTTTTTTTTTTATTGATTAGACTTAAGACTGTAAAAGTATTGAATAAATGTAATAACGTCCACAATCGTAGGTTGACCCTTGACAGTAGCAGTAGCAGGCGCAGCGGAAGCAGTCGCAGGACAGGACGGAATACGGTCTGCCTAGTTGACTATTGAACACTGTAATCAGTTTTTGTGGCTCTTGTCCTGCCGACAATTACACACACAAAATGACGCAACTCAAACCACGCTGGCTGCCTGTCCAGCAGAGGCGCTCAAAAACATCCTGGCTGGGTGGCTGGCTGGGCGGCTGGCTGGGTGGTTTGTTGGTTGGTTCGAGCCTATCGCACACTTCCTGCACGCAGGAAAAGCGGACAACAGTCGCACAATTGGTTTGCTCATGTCGCTGATAATTGTCGTTTGCGTTGCACAAAAGCGGATGATATTTTGCACCTTGTCACACGCATCAGGCATATTAGCTATGTGAATCGATTACACTCAAATAGAACCGGCCTGGGCATTGATAATACTCTGTTTCTTCGTCTTATTTTTTGAATAGAACCCTTAACTTTCGATAACAAATTTTTCCTATTTTAAGTTCTAAATTAAAATGACGCCAACTTTTTTTTTGGGCTTCACTGGTATGTTTGCATCTATCGAAATATTCACATTTCTTTCCGATAACAGGGAAAGAGCTTACACGCTTCGAGTCGTTGGTAATTGACGTGCTGTTGCTATCGTTGTTGCCATTTGGCGACCGCATATGGCACGTACTGCACTTGACAGCCCGGCTGGCGCAGGATGAGGGCGGTAGGTGGGCGTGGCGGTCGCAACGTTTTCCGTCGCGTCGTTCGTTGCCTTTAATTACTTTTTCAATATCGACTGCGGTATGGTATGTGTATGGGCTTCTACGCCCACCTGGCCACGCCCACATACGCCACGCTGGCTGGCGCCCACTCGATCGGATCAGCAGCACCTCAGCAGCAGCGGCGACAACTCACCAAACAGCATCCACAAGCGTGTTGCCAGCAACATTGCTATTGGCAACATGTTGCTACGAAATGTTGCGTTGCGTTGCGTTGCGCTGAAATTTGATAGCTTTGTCAGATGAGTTTCTGACCCATAAATAATTGGAGTAAACAATGCGTAGAGAGCGACAAGGCAAACGAATTGGAATTGGAATTGGTTGAGAGACCGGGTTCCAGTTCCACAGAGGGCATCGGTAACTGGGTCCATAAATCTACGCGGAGCTGCATTTAATCTGGCTTAAACACGCATTTTCTTGACAATTTCACAGTAAAACTGTTGGTTAAACATGCCTTCAGTTATTTGTTATTGTTGTAATCTGTTGTAGTAGAAAATAATGAATGGAGCCTGCACTAAAATGACAGGCCGACAACGAGCCGCATAATTAATATGCGATTTTCGTCTCGCTCGCTCAACTCGCACCAAAATGGCCACCGAGCCACTGAGCCACTGAGCCACTATAAATCCACAAATGATAACAGTAAATCAAATTCAAATGCAAACACAAACACAGTCTGGAGAAATTGAGGTTCTTTGCGCTGACTCCGGGGTTGGGAAATATATGCATGTATATACGCTTATAAATGAAGTGCTCAGCTCCGAGATTGGTGGGCATCAAACGAGTTAATGAAGCGTAAGTTGGTCAAACCAAAAAAAAAACAAAACAAAATGAGGAACTTGAGCTTGAGGGGTTCAAGCTGCCCCAATCTCGTCCAGCAATGCGCAAAAAGTCAAGCGATTTGACCGTTAAACTCCGTTTAGAAGCTGCGAGAGCTGGCTAGCTAGTAAATGGTAAATGCCACTTGCTGTTGCAGGAGGCCAGACAACTGCCCCCTAAGTGGGTCTATACCTAATGTCGATAGCAATGCGCAGGGGCATTGGGGCTACACACGCACTGGCACACACACGCTGCCCGAAGGCGGAAGCTTATTTTGTCTCTTGACCTCATTGCTGGCTTTCCCTTTTTCCGTTTCCGTCTGCGTCTGCGTCTTCCTCTTCCTCATCCTCATCCTCATCCTCATCCTCATCTTCTTGCTCTTCATCTTCCATCCCATCCTGAAACCCGAATGCTAAATGCTAAGTAGTTTCGCTTTTAGTGCAAAATACTCGACACAACTGATGTTGTTGTTGTTGTTGTTTTATGTACTTGCCACAGTTGTTGCTGCTTTTGTTGGCACTTGGCATTTGTTTGACTTTGGTATTTGCTTGGTGGCGGTGGCCACTTGGAGACGTCGTCTGCCTCAAATGTGTCCAAGTTCCTTTCAGCTCTTTACTTTTCTTATATGACTTTAAACGTTTCGCATATTTGCGTGCATTTTTGACATGCCCCTTTGTGGCATTCCTGTCGCTTTCTTCTCTTATATTATTGAACAGTCCGATCTCAGGCTTAGTCTCCTTAACATACTTCAAAATGTAATCATTTTTCCTCAATGCCACATCTGAATTTACATAAATATATGTAATTTAAATTGAACAAGTACGAATTATAATGCTGTCCTTAAGTTGGGATTATATTTTTTGACAGTTGATCAATAATATATCAACTGTAACTTTTATTGCTATCAGAAATCGGCATGTATCGATATACGAGAGAGTTATCGATAAAAGTAAAATACACTTGATCAGCACGGCTAACTGACACCAATACGGAAGCTTATATTCAAGATTTAAAGTCTGCAGACCTCATAATTTTGTTGAGGTCCATTTGTTTATACAGACGAACAGGCTGACGGACAGACAGACAGAGCGACTGCTGATCAAGAATATATATATGTCTGCCACGCTGCCTATTTCCCACACACAGACAAAGACTAGTATTTGTATATCTATATAGTATTTGTCAGGGTGTAAAATGCGTATGCCCATGCAGAGAATGCTATGGAGTCATAACTCTTTTGGACAACACACAGAAATGAACACAATTAACTGCTGCGTAAATGCAAAGTTAATGAAAGAGTCGATATGACAGTAGACATGGAGAGGAATCAAGTAAAGGTTGCCTGGCTGAAGAACTGCCTCCAAGCCTTAAAGTGGACTTCAAACTGAGAACTCTTTAATGATGAACAATTAATAGAAAGATACAGATGTAAAATACAAGGCTTATAAGCTCTATTGCTTTAATAATGATTGTTTAATGGAGTTTTCTTTGTGGTTGCTGTTGTTGTTTAGTTGTTGTTGGCCATTTGTCGGATGGCTGCCTGTGGGACTTATTTATTTGCCATGCTTTCATTTATAGTTTCAATTAATTTTCGATAGAATGTTCTTTTATTTTGAAATATTTTTGCATTGCATTTTTTGGCAACAATTTTTGGCATAATATTATGATTTTCCACTAGCTTCCGCTTTCTCTCTCTCTCTCTCTCTCTCTCTCTCTCTCTCTCCAACTGTGTCTTTGCTATGTATTTCTAATGAGCCCTGTGGCTGGCACAAAATTCACCAAACTATCCCCCCACCACACACACACACACACAACAATGTGTGTATGTGTGTAATTTATTTCATTTAAATGATTTATTTATTTTGCTCATTGCCTTTTGCAACTGCTCTTGCTGTGTTGGGCATGCCGCCTACTCGCCTCTGCCTCTGCCTCTGCCTCCGCATGGCACATCCCCTCCGCGCGCCCCTCACGCACTATGCTGGCATCCTTGGCCAGGACCCGTCTCCAGCACATTGTTGTGGTTGTGCTGTTGTTGTTAAATTGCTTCTGGCATTTGATTTGTACATCATTTTTAACGAAGCATAAAGTTTTATATGAAAACAGCAGCAGCAACATCCTTGCTGTTGTTGTTGTTGCAGCACTTGACTTTGGGCACTGCGGTTGAGCTCTGCGTGTGTGTGTGTGTGTGTGTGTGTGTGTGTGTGGGCGTCTCTTAATGAACAAAAAAGTAGCATGTAGATATTTTCTCGTTTATTTAATTTGCCAGAGCAGAGCAGATGAGTGGCCCAAAAAACACTGTCGAGCTGCCTTCCTGTGCCTGACAGGATATCAAATAGGCATTTTCCCTCACAGGAAATATCAAATCAAAAAATTACGAAATTACTAAACGCCAGCCACAGAGCTGAATTCCACAAAAAAAAAAAAAAGAAATTGAATTAAATAAAACCAACAAAAGTGCATATGATAAACGTTGACATTTCGTACAAATCCATTTGCAGATACATTTGCACATGGGAAGGAAGTATAGAGCTCGAAGGAGACAGTTGTGCAGATTAAGATATTGAGTTGTTGCAGCAAAGAGCAAGTATTCAGGAAGATAGAAGATATCCATAGACATGAATATTCAAATAAAACTGCAACGCCATAATTTGGCAGAAATGCTGGTTTCTTGTTTAAAGAAATATTCCGCTATTTGCAGACAAATTCACTCAATTTATATAATACTTTCTAATTTATGATGTCATAAAATGTGTGACGCATTGAAGGAGACTTCACCAACCTCATAAATTAATGGCGAATCGATGTAGTCGTGTCCGTCTGTGCCGCCGTTTGGATGTCCCCATTTTTCACACCCACTTTTAAAATGAGTTGATGAAACTGCACTCGACATTAAGCCATATCTGACCTCTATATCATATAATTGTCATATGGACTATGGGGTTATCGGATCGATATATGCGTAGACAACATGTCACACTTTCTGATTGTGGGAATATAACTTCACAGCCAGTAATGGTAATCAGACAGCAAATTAAATAAAATCTGTTTAAAGCAAATCATTTTATAAAACTAAATTAAAACAAAGAAAATAAATAAGACAATCATTTTGATATTTCTAACTCTGGACTAACTAACACAGACTTTTTTCTTGTTTTTTTTTTCGCTTCTTTTTAAAGCAAAACAAAAACACTTTTTTTCTCACAGGCTGCCAGCAGTAAGAAATTTGTTGCAAATACGGTCACACTATGATAAAATGTGCCGGTGAATTGTCGTAAAACATTTGAATGAAAATAAAAAAAAAAGAAAATGTGAAAAAAAAGAAGCAATCAACCATTGCATAAACAAAGTAATTTGTACGTTTCTTTAGCTCTTCTCGCTTTGCTCTTCTCGCTTTGTGGATGC